TCGTCGTGGGGGTAGTGGACCCCGCGTGCATCGTCTTCAGTGAAGAATATGGGGTCTTCCGTCCTATGCCGCTTTGGGGGATTCTGTTCTTCTCTAGCGGCCTCCCGGGTTGATGCCCGAGCTGCTGCCGAGGTGCAACTTGCTACGACTGATCCTCCAACGATCACATGGATTGTTCCCCGAACTGGTCTTTCCTTCGGGGCTGCTTCTGCAGTTTTGCTGGCCGGTTGCTGGACTCGGGAGCGTCTCTGCTGCGCTCTCCCTTCCGACCTGCCTTTATTATTATTATTATTATTATTATTATTATTATTATTATTATGCTGTACAAAATTTCGTAGGTACCCACGGCGGATAAGTTCCTCTATCTCGTCGCGGAGATTATTACAATGTTCGGTGTTGTGACCGTGGTCCCTTTGGAAACTGCAGTATAAGTTTTTATTCCTCTCGTTCGGGTTTCCCTTCAGGCGAGGTGGCCACTTCACATACGGGGCATCTTTGATCGTCATTAAGATCTCGGCCCGCTTCGCGTTTAAGGGCGTGTAGTCCGCCCGACCTGCTAAGGGAGCTCGGAACGGCTGGCTTGGCTTCGGCCCCTGAGCTGGGTCTCTTTTTCTCCTGTCATCTGAATTGGAGGGCTCGCCTTTCCTCTTTCTTTTTTCGATCCCACCTTCAGTCCTTTGGTTGATCTCTTCCTCTGTTCTTATGAATTTGTCCACGAGCTTGAGGAATTCAACCACGCTTGTGGTTTAGTTAACTACCATCTGCCAATTGCCAGTTCGGGTGTCATAACCTCCACTGCCAGTTGCCAGGGCCGCCTCTGTCCATCTGAGATGGCGGTGGCAGGTGGCCGTTGGATGGCGGTTGTCATGTGTTGGACCCCTAATTAGTCAGGTGTGCCGCCTCTGTGTACGGGTCTCCTGGGCGTCAGGTATGGTTGCTCAGTCAGGACACTTGGAGCCAAAGTGGTGTGTGAGGTGAAGTCTTGAGCTCGAATAGAAGTGTGGCCCGAACTGCCTCTGGGTGGGCAGTTCAGGTTTTTGCCTTTTGTGCTCTTTGTAAGGCTCAGGACCTTGAAGGGAGAGATTGGGTTCCGACTTGGGGAGCTCAGAACTTCTTTAGCTCGGGGCCCGGGCTATAGGTTTCATTGGGGGAGCTCGGGATTCTTTTCCTCAGAGCTCGGGTTGTGGGCCCGCTGTTGTGCCGAGCTGGCGCTTCTAACAGGTCACTCTCGGTTGCTTCCACGTGTCGTATGGCCAAGGGGTCGGGTCAAACCTTCCTCCATCAGGAATTAAAAAAATAGTCACATGACATCACTAGGAATGGCGATAGGGCGGGTTTAGGCGGAGATTACATTCCCCATCCCGACCCCGACCCCAAATCATCCCCCGTTCTCGTCCTTGATCCCTGTCGGGGAAAGAAATTCCCCTCCATCCCCGACCCCAATGGGGATGAATTCCCCGTCGAATACCCGAATTCCCGACTTGAGAGAGACTCCAAACTTGTGACTTGCGAGTAGATTTAGATCTGTAATCTATTTGAGATTTCAAGAATCATAAATCAAAAGCATTGAGAGAGAGAGAGGACCATTATGGGTTTTGAGTTGTGGCATTGCCTCATCTGAGAGAAGAGCAGATCAAGGGAAGAATAAAAGTAGGGCACTGCCATACTAGGGTTTTGAGTTTCAGGCTTTCAGTTGCCACATTTGATACGTATCAGCCGATACTGACTAATACATGTCGATACTTTGAACCTTGCTCCCAACCTCTTCCATCTCTATGCATGAAAAATGCAAAGCCCTCTTCCTACTTTTCCCTTTGGTAGAGTGATTGTGTGCAAATTTACATGTAATTTCTTATTACTTTATGTTATATATAAACAATAAACAAGCAAAAATGACATGAACAAACATCTAAAATTCCCAAACATCAATTTAATGTATGCTATTCATGTGTGTATGTATATATTTTAGTGAATTCAATATATGGGTCGAGGAGAATTGGATTTACCATAACACTGTACCCATCTGCTTTGTTTAATTCTAAAACTTGATTCAAAACTAAAATCCATTTTCAAACAAAATTAGAAAAAAAAAACAGTAAAGAAAAAACTGCCCGTTGGAGCGGTAGGGTTGAAATTGACACCTTATAGACGAATAGTGTAGACTGCAGCAGGGTGGGCATTGGACAGTGTAATATAACATGACCCAATGCTATGCAACTTCTTCGAATTTGAAAACCGGATGTCATGGTGGATGACTGGATGCTTGAGTCCAAAACCAAAAGAATATAGTTGTAGATTTTGAATTAGATCAGGATAATTGGTGCCATTGAGCTTGCTGCTTTCCTCTCCAAATGCAAGTTTGGGATTTCCCCACTCCACCTGAAGTCTGAAAAAAGTTGCAACTGTTCAAATTATTGATATCCCTTATCACTATAAAGCGTCTAAAATCATGGAATTTCCCCTTTTTTCATTATTTTCAATAATTCATTGGTAGATATATTATAAGGGGTTTTGTCGTTCAAACCCATATAGCATTTCGGTGACCCAAAAGTGAAAATTGAGAACTAATACGCCATGCTTTGAATCATGATTGGAAACCATGAAAATGACATATTATATGATCTTTTTTTTTTTTTTCTTAATTTCCCCATATCTATAAAGCAGGGCATCCAAAATTTGCACCAATTGATGTTGTTCGGTGAGGGGAATTGATTCATGAAGAATCAACAATTTTAGGGTGTTTCCATGGATAATATATAAAAGAGACGAGAAAAAAAGGGTAAATTATAAGTATCTTGTACCTTGGGGTAGTTTCACTCTAGGACTTAAACTTTCAAATGTGTCACTTTAATACTTGAGCTTCCAAAATTATATATCTAAGCCCAATTTCATTAAACTCACGTTTATGGTGATTGGTGAGGGATAAAATTATATAAAATGTCCATGTTCTAATTCTTTTTCATTATTCATCTTTTTCTACCTCTTTGACTTCATACATAAAATGTGTCATATTTTTTTACCTCTTGTTCTTTGACCCCTAAAAGTATTTGGTGATACTGTAAATTATTTTTTTTTCAAAATACCTAAAATTGCCCATAGATAATGAATAGTGGAAAAGAAAGAGTTAAAACATGGGCATTTCATAATTTTACCCTTTACCAGAATGTTAGTTTAACTAAATTAGACTTAAATGTATATTCCTGAAAAGTTCAGGCCCTACATTGAGACTACCCCAGAGTATAAGGTCCCTATCTGCAATTTGGCCTAAACAAATTTGCAAGATTTGATACATCACTGATATGGACATGCCAAAAACCATTTCAAGAATCGCCTCCTCCCCATTCCAATTACGAGGTATCCATCCACCACCAGCAGCTTCTAAGAACCACTCATAAACATGAAAAATTGAGAACTGTTGATTCAATTACTGACCTTTTTCAATAATCAGTTCATCAAATACCAGTAAATCAATGTTTATTAGTTTTTTTTTTTTTCACAACAGAAAATAGGATAAATCACTTAAACCTCTCCTTTTCTTTCTGACAATTGCCCCTGAACTTTGACCTATTCTCCTAACATTTGAATAATTAAATTATACTTATTGACCCCTAATTTTTTTGACGCCCTTATTGACCCCTAAAAGAGTTTGGTGATATTGTGAATTATATTTTTTTGCAAAATTCCTAAATTTGCCCATGGATAATGAGATCCATTTTTTTAATGATGGGTGGGTCGTTGGTTATCAGTCCACCACTTCTTAGCAAGGTTCAAAGTATAGATACGTATTGATTGATACATATCATGTTGAGAGTTTCCCGATATACCCTTATAGGAATTATATCGAATCAGAAGATAGCTGAAATTTAAACCAACCCCTCTAATAAATTGGTTTTGAAAATATATATATATATATATAAAGCACTAGCACAGGTCAATACGCCTTATTTAGAACCTTGCTTCCTAGCTGTGGACTCCACTCTGGTCATTTAACACTAACACGAACAGGGCGTTAATATCAACATCAACATCTAACACCAACAAAAAATGGTCAAAATTGAATCAAACAGCATAGTGTGTGTTTTCAATTCGGATACCAGTGATGACTGATTAATCATTGATCTCTTTCTATTTAGTATCTTTATATTTTTAAGCTCATTATAAGTTTATTATTACTACCTTCCATCCGCTAAATTTAAGCTGTGTTTGGATAAAATTTGTGTTTTCAAAGCCCCCATTCAGGGGTGTGCTCACCCCCTGACAGCCCATAATCAATGCTTGATGAAAACCTCTGAAAGCCCAAAATAACCATTTTACAGCAAAAAAGATGGCTTATTGGTTGAAGCTTAAGGGGCTTTTCCCAAAGTAGCTCACTGAAAACAGCTCAACCCGGGCTTCAGCGCTCCCAAATGGGTTAGGCTCTGTGATTTGTTCCAGCCTGTCTTGAATCCAATCAGACTGAAAAGAGAGAAATGAAATTGCAAGTATAGATAGATCTATGTGATGGAGATGCCTGCAGATAGTGATGGTTTCGTCCCTTGTAATGTTCCCTCTGATTAAAAAGAAATTAATAAATAAAATAAAAAAATGAAACATCTATTACGAGTACCAGGAAGACAAGCACTCCGTTTCTCATTCAGTCCAACGGTCCAACTTGTTACAAATGCAAGCAGACAATATGCACCTAGCCGGCTAACAAACAAATATGATACGGCTTCAAGTATACTCAACTTGCACCTCTGGACCACCGGATTGGCATAACTGACTGGATTCTCTAAATCCTAATTTGCTTTATCAATTATATTCTTTAGCTCTACACACAAGTCCACTTTTTTATTCTGTTTATTTGTCCTTAATCTCCGTTGATTGCATTGACATCTGGTTTCGGAAAAACTTAACTCAGTAAGACGAGTCACACCAAATATTTGCCAATTGTTTATTTCTTCTTTTTTCTATTGAATTTTCGCTGTCATTACTTGACTCGAGCAATGACGACTGTCGTTTTTCCCGCAAAAAAAAAAAGAAAAACGAGTGTCTGAAATGGAAATGTATGCTGATGCGCGAGTCACACCGAGTCAGTAAATGCACTAAGCAGGAAGAGAGAAGAGAGAAGACAAAACTCTTCAAATTTTATTTTTCCCGAGATTCCCAAACGCTGTTTTTCTTTTTCTTTTTCTCTCCATCTTTTCGGTCTTTTGCAATCTAATATACCTTCTGTATAAGACCACGATCCCCTTCTAATCTTCTGTCTCTGCTTCACTGGAATAGTTTTCCGGCTTGCTCCTCTTCGTTCCAAGCGTATTTTGTTTTCGACGATGGTGGCCGATCACAAGCCCAAGACTGAGATTTCGTTGGCCGGGACCTTCGCGAGCAGCGCTTTTGCTGCTTGTTTTGCCGAGGTATATATGATCTCCGTTCCCCGGCTTTGCTTCACTTTACAAGTTGATTCAAAATATGTTCTGGCGCTATACGTTTGTTTGCCACGAATTTCCGATTACTTCTATTTCAATAATAAAAGAAAAGAACTCAGGAGATTTCTTTTGTCGATATAAAGTTCTAATTTGTACTATTTTGTTTGTTTGTGATCCTTTTTTGTGCCTTTCCTTGGGTCAATTTTTTTTGCATGCAAGCTCAGTTCTCCAATTAAATGCTGATTTTTCAAAATTTTCTGTTCACTGAGGACAAAAATTGCTACTTGCGAACTTCTACTTGAATGTAGTCCTTGTAAACGATGAAATGGAGAAAAGCTCTCGTACCATAAGTGGGAAAACGCAGCTACTTATTTACGACTAAGCCCTATGCTATAGACTTCCCTAAATAAATTGTTTTACATTGGAATACTGTTTTGACATTCTGTTTTCACGAGATTGAGAAGGCGACTTCCTCCTTATATCTGCTATAGCCATGAATTTCGCATGGTGTCTGGGGTCTCGTTTCAATAGGTCCAACCAAATAGATGCTTCCGAAGTTGATGAAAACGGCTTGTTTATTTCCCATCTGCCAACTTCTCTCCCTCCGTGTGTTCATGGTTGTTTTTGCTGATGTTGATGCATTATTAGGACAGAGTGAAGCTCAGTACCACGACTTTGTTTAAACAAATGGATAGAGCTCCTGATTTAATACTAGCTCAATAAGCCCAACGGCGAAATCTGGCATTATTTCAGGTGTCTATTGAATGTTGTGATTTCTATACGAGGAACAGCACATACACACACTTACTTCAGTATACACACACACACATTTACTTAAGACTTATTTATTGTGAATTCCTGAATGAAATAAAAATTTCAAGACATTAATGTCTTCTTTATATCTATGGCTCTATGCATATGCCATATGTATTACATGCAGCTTTGTACCATTCCTTTGGACACTGCTAAAGTTAGGCTGCAGCTTCAAAAGAAAGCTGCTAGTGGAGATGGAGTGGCTTTACCTAAATACAGGGGCATGTTGGGTACTGTTGCTACCATTGCTAGGGAAGAAGGTGCGACGGCACTCTGGAAAGGCATTGTACCAGGATTACATCGTCAGTGCCTGTTTGGAGGTTTAAGAATTGGATTGTATGAACCAGTAAGTTTTGAATTTGTTTCCTCGCACAGACTTATGATATGCCTGTTTTTGCATGTTTGCATGTATTTGTAAATATATCTTGTTTACATCATGAGTTTTTGATGGTCTTGTGTAATTGCATGTTGGACAGGTCAAGACCTTCTATGTTGGTAATGATTTTGTTGGAGATGTACCTTTGTCCAAGAAAATTCTTGCTGCGCTTACAACTGGTGAGCACATTTCTCAACTTCTACTCCTCTCCCCCAATTTCCTTCCCTCTCTCCCTACCAAGGGTATGCATAAATTATCCCCTTTTTGTTCATTCTTGATGTCCTTAGATTTGTTTCCTAGCCTGCATTAATTTCTGGTATTGCCCTAAAGTAATCTATCTTTCATAATTTCACTTGTATTTTTTGCATGCTGAGTGGGTAGTTGTAAATCATGCAGGTGCTCTAGCTATTACGGTGGCTAATCCAACTGATCTTGTTAAAGTTAGACTTCAAGCTGAAGGGAAGTTGCCACCTGGTGTGCCAAGGCGTTATTCTGGGGCATTAAATGCTTATTCCACAATAGTCAAACAAGTTGCGTTTCTAAAAGAGAAATTTCATTGTGTTGGTTCATTTAGTGTACTTGTTCAGTTTTACTAAATTTTTTCCGTTGTTTAGGAAGGAGTAGGGGCTCTTTGGACTGGGATTGGGCCTAATGTAGCACGAAATGCTATTATAAATGCTGCTGAACTAGCAAGCTATGATCAAGTGAAACAGGTAGGCTCATAATATGAATATCATTGGACTTTTATTTTGTTATGGCATTTAAGTTTATTTCTAATTCATTTTTATCCCAATACAGACAATTCTGAAAATTCCAGGATTCACAGATAATGTTTTTACTCACCTCCTATCTGGTTTGGGGGCTGGATTTTTTGCAGTGTGTATTGGCTCTCCAGTTGATGTGGTAAGCTTTCTATATCAATTTTCTATTACTTCAAAGCTGATTACTTAGTATATGTAGTGTTATGGTTTTCTATGGTTAGTTTGTTGGATTTGTTTATGGTGTGTGCAGTTGAAAAAACTTTGTAGCTTTAGTCAGATCATATAATTATTTTCTCTTCCAAATGAGAGCTCCCTATTTTCTCAAATTCATCCTGGCTCCAATTTGGTTTAATTTAGAAACTCAGATTCAACAAGTTTTTGTGAATTTTAATTGCAATATTCTCTTAAAAAAGGATTTCATTCATCAATATGTAATGTAAATTTTGCTGCTCGTACTTATGTCAAATATACAAACTAAGGGACTTCATGCTTTTTGATTCTGGTTATCTCTTAATTTGTTGATCAATTAAAAAATCTCATGAAAATGTATGTCAAAAAGAGGTGTACTCAAAGGGAATGCTTATGTAGATACAACCGACTTATTTCACATGTTCAACTGTTCAAGTTGAACTTAATAATAAGGGCTATGTTATTCAGTGATTATCCTGCTATCCAGTATCTTGGGAAGGGTAGACTGGATAAGACCAATACATTGGCATTCTCAGACTTGAACCTGCATTCTCATACTTGCTAGCCTGAGACTTTACCATTGCACCAAACAAAGGCTGAACTTAATAATATAGATGTAATTTCTACTACATGTAGCCTTTGAGGGTTACATTTAGCATTTCCTCTGTGTAGCAAGGCAATGGCATCATATCAGAATTTAGATCAGTCTCAACATTTGTTATTATTTTTATGAGTAAGGGCCATAGTTGTCAAAGCAATGCCTAGTCAGTAAGGCACTCATGGAGGGTTGCCTTGCTTAATTTCCAAGATATTTTTTAATGGTGCTCTTGGATACTTTTATGTTCTTAACCTTTCGAGATTATAATAATAAAATAGACATTATTAAACTAAATTATTCAGTTTAAGTGAAAATGCTAGTTTCTTTTTATTGTTTTTCTCATTTGTTAGGGTTCAGTGAACGTATATACTGCCTTGAGCGCTTGAAGACTTCAAAAGTTGAATTGATAAGAATGGAGGAACTCAAAATTTTATCCTATCAACACATGACCATCATCATCATCTTTCACCCTTTCTTTTCTTTTCTTCTTTTCCTAGGACAAAAATAGTCTCAGCTCCTCTATTTTCTGATTTTTTTAATTTCTTCTATTTTTTCATGAATATGTTGGTTTTCTATGTTTTGAATGAAGTTTATACATTTTTTATGAAGATTATAGACAATTAATAGTGAAAAATGGTTGTTGCTTGCTATGGAACCTAGGGAATTACCCTAGGATTCATGGTTTTTATTTAAAAAAATTCCATTGCCTAGGTGACTAGGCGACAAGGTTCCCTCCTATCACCTAGTCTTCCCTCAGTGCCTTGAAAACTATAGCAAGGGCATTGTGTTGAACAAATAAGGATACTTGTTAACTCAGTTTTTCTCTTGTAATGCTTCCTTCTGTCCCTACAATTCAATGAAAATGTGGTTTGCATTTTTCTACAAACTAAAGGCAAATTACATAATGGAAAATGCTGAGTTGGAAAAACAAAGAGAAGTAAAATAATATGATTGTTGCTGAATAACACCAAATGGATGCAAATGTGCAGTGATTTTGAGCACTTCCTCTTTACATTGAGTAGCCATTGGATCCCAAATTATATACATGCTCCAACTCTGACTTAAAAATGGGTCATTACCCAATGTTGGTCCTAGCTATTTGGGGTCTTAGAAGGGGTGGACTGGATACAGATCAACCACCCGGTTCATCTGGCTGACCTGTGAGAATAAAAAAGGGTAAGGAAAAGGAAATAACCTAATAAAAATATAAACTAATATGGATAAAAAATATACATTCTTTAAATATTCAACCAAGTTGGCCAAGTCTCAAGGGCCTTTTTATGATGGATGAAGTGGCTTAACTGAATGACTAATTTGCTTTGTCTTTGACTTGTTCATTAAAAGACAAAGCAATAAGCCATTCAGTTCCAGCCATTTCAGCCATTATTAAATGGCCACTAAGTTTAAAGACGACTTCATTCCTTGCTGCAAAATGGTTTTCAATCTTAATTGATATCTACAATGGTGTCTTTCTTTTAGTAGTTGATATTCCTGAAATTTTATCTAAATCATATTGGACCTAGTTTTGGACATGGGCCAACTGCAGTATGCAAAATAAAACTTGGCTACCATGATTAGTAACTTGAAAATATCTATTTATGCCCATGACTAAAGTGTATTTGTTCTATAATTATCAAGTTGTTTTGTACTAGTGCATGTCTAGGAGGTAAGATGCCTGCCTAGATGACAAAAAAATTAGAATGCAGCCACTTTATTGAATTTTTATTACTAGGGGTGTATCTTAATGTCGCCAACCCCATACGGTTGGATAAGGCTTTCTTGAGTTGAGTTGGATGCATCTTATTGATATATTGTTGATACATCATATCATTTGTTCTTTTTTGGAATTTTGCTATTGGAATATAAAAGATTCAGGGGTTTTGAAGAGAGGGAAAGAAGACAAGGACAAACTAGGACTGTCCACATGTTTTTTCTTTTTTTTTCTGCAATTACTCTCTCTCTCTTAGCATTCTTTAGTCATTTTTTATTTCTTGGCATGCAATTTCTCTATTAAATACTTGTTACATTGCAATGCAGTGTTTTGAACATTGAAATAAAAGATTTAATATCCTTCTGTATATGATGATTTATCATGTTTTTATATGCAATTCATTGATACTTGGTAAAGAAATTTGGCAATTTTCAATTTGTATGTTTGCTGGTTGGTATATAAAACTAGGAAGAAACTAACCTAAAATGTAGTTTTTCTTTGTCAAATTCTGTCACATGGGAGCAGGTGCCTAAGTGAGTAGGTGCTCCAGTGTCACCTAGAATGACCTATGTTCCTCGACAACTATGGACCTAATGTTTAGTCTCTCTGCAGTAAATGGTTTGGTTACTTGTTTGCTTTTCAACTGATTAAACAACATTATTGCTTCGTCCATTTGATTAATAGCACAGTAAGGTGAACATTCGTTTAACATCTAAAGAGGACAAGCGTGTTATATTTTATTGGTTGTGTTGCAGGTGAAATCAAGAATGATGGGAGATTCAACTTACAAAAGCACACTTGATTGTTTCATCAAGACTTTGAAAAATGATGTATGCTCATTTTCACTTTCAAATTTCCTTCTTCATTAGTTGGAATTAGTTACCATGTTGCAGTAATTGTACTTCTTGGATTCCTATCCATCTTTCATAGAGAAGTTGAGTAGGTAACAATGGCTTTTATTTATAAATCAATAATCAACAAGAAAAAGAAAAAGAAAGTGTGGTACATCAGTGAGAAAGTAGAGGAGGAAGAAGAGAAGAGAATAATAAAGTGGATCAGAAAAAAATTGAGTCTACCGTCCCTATCATTGGTATTTATATGCTGTCTTATAAAAGATTTTACAATGACTAAAATGTCCCTGCAGCTCAAACATAAAATAAAAAGAAAATAAACAGTCCAAGAAAAGGATTAAAAACATAATAACTAAATAAACTACTCGATCTACTGCATCTTTTTTTTTTTTTTTCTTTTGGGTTGCAATCTATTGCATCTCTATACTCCCCCTCAAGTTGGGAATAAATGTTGGTCATTCCCAACTTGCACATATCTGTTTATAGCTTCTGCCTAGCAGTTGCTTTGGTTAAAACATCAGCTAACTGCATATGAGAGGCAATAATGGCAGGCACACTTAGAAGCAACACTCTCTGATAAAATGTAGATCCACCTCAATGTGTTTGATGGCTTTAGAACTGTTTTATAGAACTTTCCTTTTAATTTGAGTGCCATCATCTCTTAAAGTTTATTCATAAAAAAAATCATCTCTTAAAATTTGATAAATGAAGGTAAATTTGTGTGAATTTGATAAGGTGCTATTCTGTTCAAAAGTGGTTCTGAAATTGGTTAATAGGGCCATTTCCTTTCTTATGGATTAGTAGTTTTGACAATGATTAATCTGCTAATGTGTTTAGGGGCCTCTTGCTTTCTACAAAGGGTTCATTCCAAATTTTGGTCGGCTAGGATCTTGGAACGTGATCATGTTTCTAACTCTAGAGCAGGTATTATTGCCAAGACTATTTTTTTTGCATTTTCAGTGCTTGTTTTATCCTGTTGACAGATTAGTAAGTTCAGACCTTACTAATCTGTTGGACTGTTACGGAAGTTGCAATTGTATTTCATGTCTAATAGTTGGAAATGCCAAGTTGAAGAATGAACCCATGAAAGACACAGTATTGGAAGAAGCATCAACTCCATTTGCTTATTTTTGGTTGCGGAGAGTATCAAAGCTGAAAATACTAGTTTCGTTGTGAAATCTGATTATGCTCATGGACCCTGCTCTTTGAACTGATTATTGGTGATATTCATAAAACCTGTCTGTTTGCCTTTCTTCTCTTTCTCACCACACCCTCCCTGATCTTGACAGGCTAAGAAGTTCTTCAGGAAGGAAGTATAGGACGAAAGTTTGAAGGATTAAAGTGGTTGGTGGGCAATTGTTTTGCTCAAGCTTGCTTTGGCAATAATTGGTTACTTAAAGAATAAAGAGTGAAATAAGGCTCTTTTTGCTAGTGTCTTTTTTTTCTTCAGTGATATAAGTGTCCTTCGATGTTACAGTCGAGGATTTCTTCAGAAACTCAATTTGTTTGAGGAATCTTCTCATTGCCATTACTTTGTTTTGGGAATTTCTGAACATTCTTCCTGCCAAGGTTTGACAATTATCAGGTTATAATTGAAATATGTACCATCGTGCTTTGCCTTGGAGCTTCAAGAAAGCCATTACCCAATATTGATCCGAGCTATCTGCGGTCTTAGGGGTGTACTGAAATAACCTCTGGCCGCTTTCAGGGGCCATTCCGATTCCAACTGTTTGGTTGGCCGAATCTGAATCTTATTCCTATTTTTGGTGGAATGGCCAGGAATGGGAATGAACCTATCCCTCGCTTGGGAGAGGAACCTCTCATTCCAACTGATTCTAATTCTGATTCCTGTCTGAACCAAATAGATTAATGGAATGTACCATTCCATTCCAATTTCGATAGCAAACCAAATGGACCTTCAGATACTGTTTATCACGTTTGCTAGCCAGAAATTTTATCATTGCATCTAGTGACGTCAAGACTCAACAGGTTTGGTTTGGCCCAACCCACCGAACTAGTTGGAAATGGTTTACTTAACCCCAATGTCCCCGTCTCATGTTCTTAGCAAAGGCTACATTTGGCAATGGGTCGGGTTTGGTGGCCAGTCACAAGACTCACAACTTGAACCCAGACCGTATCCCAACTGCGATTGACCCAAGCCACGGTCTACGTTTGGCAAATTCTCCAAAGCTATCTGCGAGCTATGAATTGCTTCATGTTGAATTTGTTTTTGATTCAATTGGGATGAACAAGTGAATCAAACCAAAGATCAACATCTTGCAAATAAAGATGCATTATATGTCCTTAGCATGATTGCATGAATGTGGATAGTGAACTGAATTACTTGACAAGCTCTTAAGAATAACGATGAGACTGCATATTTAGCGAATTGACACCAAATTGGGGGGGATGATGTTTTTTAAAACAAAGGCAACAGCAACATCAGCAAAATACATTGGTCTTTCTGATGCAGTTGCAGGGTTCAAAATTTTACAAATTTAGGAATGTACCAGTGTGTATCGACCGATATGTCTTGATTGATTTTTGAATCAATCATATACCAAATAAGAGAATTGAAGGTTAATAACCTTCCTAGAGCTATCATGATCCCATTTTTTGAAGATTGAAACATTTTTTAAAATCTTATATCGTTCCTTTTGAATCGTACCATATGCACAATTTTTATGTATTTTGGACCTTGGGCATTCGTTTTTGAATTGAAAAATATAACACCGTTATTCTAAATACGTCCTCAGTGAACCAAATTGACACCACATTAACGGGGTGGGTATTCACCAACGTCAACATGTATGAATTTGTTTTTCAAAACAAAAAGTAACTGCCAAGTTAGCAAAAATATATTGCTTTTGCTTAAGGCTGCAACTTGGGCCGGGTTGGCCCGAACCCAATCCAAAAAAATCGGGTTGGGTTGGGTTGATGCTCAGGTTAAGGTTAGGGTTGAAATTTATGAATCCGGTTTTACTTCAGATTGGGTTAAGGTTGACCCCTCGGGCAACCCGACTCAACCCAAACCTGACTCTATCTATCATATATAAATATATGTTATATATATGATTATATTATACATTGATTTGTTTAGATGCATGATAGTTGTATAGCCACCACCACATACTATCATTTATTTCATTTAAGATAACCGCTTCACTTTATCCTAATTGGAAATACTAAATTATATCGTACATTGATTTCTTTATCTCCTCTTTGTTATTTGCCACCCATAGCTAGCTGCCCATAAAAGAGCTATTATAAGTCAACTCCTTATAAACTATAGGCTATAGTCATTTCAAACTCTTTTTTTTTTTCTGAATTTTGTACTTAAATAACTAATATAAACATCAATAAAAAATACTAATAAAATATAGGATTAATATATGTAATGAAAGTTGAGTTAAGACCTAAGATTAAGAAGTTCTATTAAGGGATGGGAAGAAGGTTGGATTGGGCCCAACCTGAACAACTTCGGATTGGATTGGGTTGGGTTAGGGTTGGATAGTTTGGGTTGGTGGTTTAGAACTTAGGGTTGGCCTCAACCTGACCCGACTTGCAGCCCTACTTTTGCTGATTAGGTAGTTGTTTTTGTTTCAGAAAAACAAAACCAATCATTTTGCCAAACATCCCCTTGGTGAATCAATGTTGTATATTCAATGAACATTGGTTCCAATTGTTAATGTATATAATATACACATACATGATGCATCCATGTATGTATATGTATATATTCCGATGATTTTAAGTTTAATGGGTAAAGATTTTTTTTCCAGTGTAATGTAAGTGTGATACTCCCAAACACCATTATATAGGTCCCATTTGGTGCGTCTTTTCATGTAGGTTGTCCATTGTTTAGAAGCTTGGCAGCCTGTATTGTCATCTTTTTCTGTTTGGTTGGGGGAAGATCAGCCACTGAAAGATTCTACCCCCAAAAAACGCGAAAAACTCAATTCGAGCTAATTTCAGGAAATTAGAAATAGAGTTTTTCACATTTTTTCGTCCTATCTTCATGTAGAAAGATGCACCTCCAACCAAACAGTTTGTGGGCTGCCTAAATCTTTATGTAAAAGTCCACTACGTCTTTTGACTGTCAAGTTTTCCATAAGATCTTTCAAAAAAAAAAAACTTGCCAAACATCACCATAATTAACTATTAACTTGGGTTTGGCTAGGTTGACATCAACCAACTAACCTGGCTGGGCTTAGGTTCATAGCTTGAAATTTGAGATGCATTGGCGTCAACTTCAACGAAAAAGTAATGTTCCAATGACATTATGTGTGTAGGCATTTTAGAAATCCAACCTGATCCAAAAATCATAACAACTTGGGGTGCTTTCATTGTTGTGGTTGCTGTTTCCTATTTTCTATGTGGTTGTTATTAACACAAATTTATAAAGTTGTTTCTCTATCCCGATTTTCATTTCAAAATTTAGAAATTGTATGTTTTTTTTTTCATTTTTTGGAAATTGTATGTTTGTTTTCTTAGAGGATATTCACTTCTGAAAATGAAAGTATATTAATAAAAAATAAGTAAATTTGCATTTAAGTGGGCTTTTGATAAAAAAAAGGCATGGTTTAAACTATCAATACGATACACCCCGTATCGGGCATATTGTATCATATCTTTTGAAATGATACGGTCTGAAACACATGTTTCCAGGGTTTCAAACCCCCAATTTTTTTTAATAATAAAAAACAGGTTATAAGCTTTCCAAAAAACCAAACTTTGAAAAAAAACTAAAAAAATAGTTTTGGCCGTTTTTAAGTGCCGATATGATATGGCCAAAACTCGTATTGTATAGATACTTTGAACCTTGAAAAAAACATATGCTTTATTGGAATTCGTATTTGCATCTAAGAAGACAAATTTGTCAATGCAAACCAACCCAACTTTACAATTTATATAAACCTATATTTACATTCACACATATTTGCATCGTTTCCAAACGCAATCTTATGAGTTATTGTTCCCGTCCAATAGAACAAATTTCTCACAGTCATTTCCTCAAATACTTGATATACTCGAGTTTCCTGAATTTTGTGCAAATGCTTTGAATTTTATTCATGAGTCATGAACGGATAAGAAAGAAACCCAGATTTTCTTCTCACTTTTTCTACCTATTTTTTATCCCCGTAAATTGTAGTCACATATTTGATAATAGAGATATGTGACTGCAATTCACAGGGTAGAGAATGGATAGGAAAAGTGAATAAATCCGATTGATAAGAAAGAGGTAACTTAAGCTTCAGAAGTGGCAGGGAGTTGGATGTCTCACCGGAGGTTTTGAATCGGCCTTCCATGGAAATGGTATTATGGTATAAACGTATAATTAGATGGCTCCCTACCTGTATATTCATGAACAGATATGAGTTCATCATGACTCATGAGCATGTGAAAGGTTATAATGGTCAATTTCTGAATTCAAATTCACGGATCGTCATGGCGGGTAGGCAACAGCCAGTGAAAGCATTTTTTTCTCCACCCTTCGTTTCTGTGTAATAACGAAAACACCCCTATTTGTTGATACGTGTACTCTTTACAGCTTACAACCGGAGCAACTCTCCTTTTGGTGATCGTGAACAAGCTCGAGAAAGCGCAAGTGACGCATTCGTGCCTAACCCGATCTGTCGACTCGAACTTCAAAAAGAAGAGCGGATTCAGAGTCCTTGCGAGTCGGAAATGACTGGAAACAGCTCCGTCGTCCGTCAGGATCTTATTCGGTAAGTCTCTGAGTCTCTTTCGCTCGCTTGCTCGGTCGTATACTCACTTCTTCTCTGCAATTAGGTTATCTGAACCAATCAGAGTGTCTCTATCAGAGGCGCAGTATAATCCACCAGAGGGTGCAAATGTCTCCATTAAGTCTGTGCTTGAATCCCTATTACCAAATAAGGTCACGTCATCCAATCTTGAAACCACGGAAGAAGAGATCAGAAGGGAGATTAGAGATTTCTGTTTGTGCTGCGCTGCATTGACTTCAGCTCAAGTTGAAAGTGGGGATTTACTATCATGGATTCCCAGACAACTCTCGGCCGCCGCGAAGGCTACTGTAGAGCAACTTTCGAGGGATTACTTCCGCGATTTAGATGAAAACAAGTTGGGAAGAATAAGGGAGATAGGCGTAGATTTTGCTTCAGTTCCGGATGAGCGGAAATTGGTGGTGGAATTAATGCCTGAAGTGATCCCTTTGCTGAAGGGAACTATCAAAGAAAGTTCTATCGATGCTACGGACGACGGCGATGAGATATATGCTGCTTCTGCTAGAACTCCGGTTGCATATGCTATCATTGCTGCTTATCAGTTTAGATGGTTTGTTACTCAGGTTTGTGGCGGCTTAGATGATTCGTTGGGATATAGTTGGAAGGTATATTGGTTTTCCGTTGTGCTATGCTGTTCTTTCTTTGTCTTTCAGGTTGATTACCCTCATTTGGGGAAGTTATGTGCTTTGGTAATTCCTTGTGCTTTGACTGCTCTCGATCATTGGTCGCCGGAAGTTAAGGTATGTAAGGCGAATTTCTTATTTTTCAATGCTCGTTCTGCATTAATTGGAATTATCTTGCTTTTGATCGTTTATAATGTACTCAGCGTTATTCTTCATGTGCATATTAAATTCCAACTAGTTCCCCTCATCTGCGTTTCTTTCTCTTCATTTTTCTGCCCTGGTGTCTGGAATATTATTTCTTCTTCTTATCGTATGGAAAAGAGAAAGAAAAGATAAAACTTTGGACGGTTTTGAACTTCCTCCACGCTAATGCTCATTCCATCTCAAACTTTAAATTATACTACAAGAGTACAGACTTTTCCTTCTTAGTGACCCAATATGCGAGTAGAATCTTATACAGAATCATTCCCCTGGTCCAAAAAGGAACACTACTCGCCTACAAAGAACCATCCAATTGTACACACCCTGCCTAAATGATGTGAAAAAGGGATATCAGTTCTATCTCAAATTTGCTTGACAGTTTCTTGATGCATCATGTACAAAGCAGAAATTGCTATATCTGATTTGATGGTCTGTTGTATCCTATTATGCAGATTTTCCTTAGAAGTCAGAAAGGACCCTTTAACCATACAGTTTTTTAACCATATTTGACCATACAGTTAATTATTGAAGAAACCTTCTGAGGAAAACATTGAAAGTATCATTTTAGGCACTACCAGTGTATTAAAACATTTCCTGGGTGTTGACTAGGCAATAACATAGGTGTTTTACTGTTTTGGAGGCCCATTGCTTATGTGATCAACTATGGGAGCAGTATAGATATAAAGATCTTAGAGCAAATAACCAATTAAATCAAGTTTGTGTGTGTGTGTCAACTAGGCATCGTGCCTTTTCCTGCCAAAATGTCTAGGCACCTTAGAATAGAGGCACTGTCTAGAAATCCTTGTATTTTTCTCTAACAAGTAGCTTCTGGAATTTGACCACAAACAAAATAAAACAATAACATTATTTCTCAAATTCTTGGCAGAAAACAGATTTTAATATATCAAATTACTAACCTCCCACTCCACCATTCATTGTTCAAGTTTAAATTTATCAATATATATTACTGACATGACACCTTTAAAGTCTTTGTGGTTCTTCGGAAAATCATTCCAGATGTTAATACCATATCATCAACCACAAAACAGGCCCAAAACTTTACATGTTATCATTTTTTGATGAAATAAGAGTCGTAGTTATACTAGATAGCCGAGAGGCAATAGGCTCAAGTTTATGTGTGTAAAAGAGTGAAAATTGACATAAAAGAATAATCCTTAATCATCTTCTTAAGAGAAGGCTCTGCTTTGAGAAAAGCATTTTTCTTGTTTGTTTGTACTGCAAATTCCTAGGATGCAAATGCTTTCATAAAAGTGATATTCTTTTTTCTTTTCTTTTTCTTTCTTCTATTAGAATGACATATACTCCAAATTTTAACTTAACTTTTCCCTTATTTGTGCACAGACACGGCTTAAAATGGATCTGTCAATAAGGAAAATAAAGTAGAACAACTCTGATCTGATTTTCTGGACAATAATGTAGAATAAGAAAAATCAGTTGAGATTCAACTGAGTCTAAGGAATTCCTCTATTTCTTTTTGAATAGTGAAAAGGCTGGAGGTAGATCATATGTGGAAGAAGGAATAATGGATCAGATGATCACTCTAGCATTCACTAGTCACTAGGGTTCTACGCCATGTCAGGTTGCTCTGCCAGTCTGCTGGCACACTATTCATTTTCTCGTATGTTCTTAAAATCAATTTAGCTCCAGAGGAAGCATAAAATAAAAGATGAATCATTGACTATCAACCTAATATTCTAGTATGATCTTTAAAGAAAGAATTCTTCTTTTTGTTCTTCAATACTTATTGTTGGACTTTTCTGTGTTAATACGAGTCCTTAAACATACATATAGCATCTAAGTATTTCCTAAAGGTTATCTACTTAATCAATCGAAGCATCCATATTGACATTATTGGAGGTATGAGATGCTGTATTCTTTTTACCTAACTTTAAATACTTGCTTTAGTGCTTCTTCCCCTACTTTTGACACAACAGGAGACAAAAGAACTTCCTTGTATTAGGCCTATGTAACTGTTGAAATGATCTTTTTGGAGGTGAATTGGTGAGAATCAAATAGGTGCTGGAATAGAGGTTTCTATCCTTTGCATCAAATGCTGAATCCTGTTCTACTAAAAATGTAATTCAAGGAGGACCATGGCCATAATATTTTCAAGTCTAACTAGCAGGCCTACCCATTCTTCTTGATGTTGAGTTAACTTAGTTGGCTATTCAAGTGCCAATTATTTTTCTTTTACTATGGGCCATCTGTTAGTTAATTACTTCTTTTAGTGTACTTATTAGGACTTTTAGAATGGTCTTTTTGTTGTTACAAGTTAAATGAGCTTAATTACTCAGTCCTCTATGCTTGTGTCCAATAAGAAACTTGGTCAGGTTGAGTTTCTGGTTTATGCTTGAGTCATATAGAAATTTCTATGCTACAGGAATGGGCATCACATGCACATCCATGCACACTTTTGAGATTTTCTTGAGGAAGAACACGGTAATAGCTTAGACGAAGTTTGTGTGTGTGTGTTTTGCTTTTTAACACTTTAGGAAGACAGGTGATCCTTTTTTGCTTGTTTCAGGGGCAAGGAATGATTAGCATTATACATCTAGTGAAGAATGTGAATGCTGCTGAACTGGGTGTGTACGAAGATGTGATCCTTGATCTATGCTGTCGAAATATTGCTTTCGGTGATGAGATATGGCACCTTGTAGTTGAGATGTCTGTACTTTTAGTGACTCGTACCCAGCGGAGGAACCCTCGCAGCCCATGGTAAGTTTGTCTTCCTTTAGTTATTCATTATAGTGCTCTCCTGCATAGTCTTATTGTTTGGTGCTAATATGATATTCAATAGATAAGTTTCCCATGACAGGACTTTGGTGATGGTAGGTTGATGGCAAAGACATATCTATGCAAAACTTTGTTTAAGTGGTAGGAAATCAAAAAATTGAAAGGGCACAAATGGAGCATTGAACAAAGGATGCCATTGTCTACTTGACAAGTTAAACATATGGTTGGGAAACTTATAAATTGTAAGGTTAGGATGGGATGAACAATTGCAGCTTTAGAATTCAAGATGTGAATCACGTGATTAAGTAAAATAATGTTAGAAGAGATTAAGGTTCAAAATATCGGCACAAATACAATACGCCTGATATAGGGTGTATCATATTGGTATCCAAAAGCCTGGGCAGGTGGCATAAGTGCAAATGGTCCCCATGCCATTTTTGTATAAATAGACCTGTGGTGGCAGTCATGACCGCTGTTAAAAGCTTCTGGCCACTGTCATAGGTCAAAGAATTGTTATTCAGTTTTTATCCAAATTTTGTTTGACAGTTTTTATAGGCTGTCCTGGCAGTTTGGATCGCCAACATATCCAATTATACTGGTGGTCCAAACTTGTTAGATCTATGGATTTTCTCCAAAAATTGGAAATGTCCAATCTTTTTTATATGTTTTAAATGATTTTTATGGTAGGAAAGAATTATAAAATGGATCTATAAATGATGCATTAAACTCATTGATCTAGCAATAATTTATGTGAAAAATGAATTTTTCTAACTTTTGGGAACAATCTGAAGGTTAGAAAAATAATGTATTTTATATCTTCTAAATGATTTGGGTAAAATATAAAAGCCTCCCTTCAAGTTTCTGACAATCATAAAAACCTCTCCTGAATTTTTGAAAAACTACACACAAACCTCCCTTCCGTTAATATGTTAGACGGAAAACAGTTGATTGATACATTATTTTTTTAATACCCATTTTACCCTTTTACCATTTCATGCATTCCGAATGAAGAAACCCAGCGCCACCAAAATCTTTCCTGTCGATGCTCCTCCTCACGAAAAAACATAATATGGTCTTCAGTGAAGTGCCCTCCCTCATCTCTAGGCTCCAACCATACGTGTATTTGCACCCTCCCTCAACTCCGCCCTCTTCCCCCTTCTCTTGTTGGTGCTTCGTATCACCATCATAAAGTCATCCCCCACTGTAAGCTGGATATTGGACTTGGAGACGTCGAGGACGTCCATATAGAATACATATGCCTTGGGGTTTCGAGGATGTCGATGGGGATGCTTGATGCACCTCCTTCAGTTGTTGATAGTTTGGACAAGCAGGCGAACGAAAGGAAAATGAGCTCTATGCTGGTCTCGGGGGAGTTAAGCAACTAGTTCACCGCCAATGCGGGGCTTCCATTAAAGAGAATCGACACTGCTCTCATCCTGGCTGCTTGCCTTTTTCAGATTCAGGGTAAGATGGTTAGATTAGATAATGGAGAGATCAGACAATAATAATGTCCAAAGAAAGTTGAAGCTAATGACCGACTTGACCAGGAGAACCAGCACTTTCTTCTTTGACCACCATCACCACTGTTAGTTTCTGCTGGTTTCATGTCAGTTGGGATTGAAGACTCGACCTTTGAACCTGAAGCAAAACGGGACATAGGAGTTAATCTTCTTGGTTTTGGTCTTCTGGGGTTTTGCAATTTCAGCCATTAAAGTTGGAGAGAGAAGAGGAAGAGATGCCTGGCATGGCATGGAGAGGGGATTTGAAGCTGCAAAAGCCTGAAATGGCATCGTTGTGGAATCTGAAGCTAGAACCTATTGGAACAGTTGAGTTACTTGGAAAATGAACACCCAAATAAATAAATCTTCAGAAAACCTGTGACAAGGAAGAGGGGTCTTGTGGGGCCATGGCATTGGAGGGGCTTTTGTACTTGATTACAATAGAGTATCTTTGAAGAATCCATTAATGGAGTTGCAGCAGCTTTTATACTTGATTACAATTGTCTTTGTTTTTCCTCCACCAATCCGATTATGGAGTTCATCATAATGCAAGTCCAAGTAGAGAGAGGCGTTGGAGAAAATATCTTTAAAATGTGCAAAATTATATTTGAAGGGGTTTATTGTCTGCAAGTGCAAAGAATAATATTCTGTTTCTTGGGAAAATAACATTATCTTGATTCCATTCCTGTGTCCTGTTAATTAGTAAAATTATACAAAATAAAAAGGGAATGATGGGGAGTGGGACGAAACTGGGGTGGTGACAGTGGTGGGGAGTGGGATGAAGAAGAAGAAAGAGAAAAAAAAAGTAGAGGAAGAAAGGGAGAGGGAGAGAGAAGATAAGAGAGAGTTGGAGGGGGTCGTTCCTGTTAGTTGGTGTTGGAAAGTCTATTCGCTGCCATTCTCTCAACAAAGAAGATGAATAGTAAACGTTCGAATTGATTAGAGCCCATCTCCTAAACGAAAACTTCAAATAAACTTCATTAACTACAGGGAGGTTTTCGTAACGAAGCTGACAAGGATAGGGAAATGCTTTCCAAGTTTTCGTAAAAGCAAGAGATTTTCAGGAACCAGAGAAGAAAGCTGCTTTGAAATCTAAATGGAGTTGGATACTAAAGTGGCGAAATTCATGCGCAGCTCATGGTGGCTGACATGGCAAAATTTTGCATTTGGATACCTTAAACACAATCTATTTTACAAAAGGGTAAACTGGGTATTTGGAAAAAAATTATACATCGGTAAACGTTTTCCATCTGAGTTAGTAACGGAAGGGAGGTTTTTGTCAATTTTTTTTTTAAGTTCAGGGGAGGTTTTTGCTAAAATGAAACTATAAGGGAAATTTTTATGATTGTCAAAAACTTGAAGGGAGGTTTTTGTATTTTACCCAAATGATTTTCATGGTAAGGAAGAACTATAGGATGGCTCTATCTATCAAACTTATTGATGTAACAACAAATTAACGTGTCTTCTAATGAATTTTTAGTAGATTGGAAGCTCAATTGTTTGATGTATTGTATGATATTTATATGTTCTAGACTCTTGGACTCTTGGTATTGTGATTGTAATGCATCTCTTCATATAAACTATTTAAGTGTGCATTTCTCATGTGTTTATACCTTGTTCGTGGTTATTTCAAGTTTTCAACCTTAGATTTAGTGTTATTGATGTATTTGTGGGATTTTTAAGAGTTTTCCCAATGTATCCAAGCATAATCATATCTAAAGTGTATTGTGATATATATCTTATCCAAGCTTGCTGATAAGATACGTGTTCCAATATCTTGAACCTTGGAAGAGATGCCCATTACAGTTCTCAAAACACCTCAGATGAGGTTAGTTCAGGGTATTTTAGTGGGATTTTGAATCCTGGTAACAGATTTAAGCTGGCTGATCAAATTAGACTTTGTCGTGGTTTGGTTGTTTCCTCACTAGTGTAATGGAGTCAAAAGGGTGAAGCCAAGCCTCAAGGACAAACTGATTGAATCCTCAGTACAGACTTACTACAACCTAGTGTTTTAAAAAACGGGCATTTTGCACCTGAGGTGCAAGGTGAGGCGTGTGCCTTTTTGAAGCAAGGCACAAAAAAATAAAAAAAAAACAATGCAAAAAATAAAAAATATTAATTAAATATATAAACTTAAATTTTAAAATAAATGTTTAAAAACTATTATCTCAAATTAAAATGCATAAACATAACATGTGAAACATATTTAAAATGAAAATTTAAAAATAAAGTCAAGCATAACATATAAAACATATTCAACCATGTAAAACTCTCAATCTCTTTAATTTTTCCCCAATCACATTACATCAAATAGCTAATTTGATATTAAACATTATGCATTCCTAATTTTACGAGCTACCTTCCCCATATTTGCTAATGTTGTTCACTCATTCATCCTAATAAAAGGTATTTTTAAAAGACAATTAAAGTTATAATTAAGAATTTAAGACCCTGATTTGGGCTTGTTTGGGCTTGCCTTGAGGGGCTTGGTTGGGGGTCTGCCCCCAGCCTAGCTTCTAGGCATAAAAAAAAAAACAAAAAAAAGTGCAAATTTTCAAAAGGCATGTGCCTGGGCTGAAGCACAAGGCACACCATGCGTGTGCCTTTTGAAAGTGATGCACCTGGGACGTAGGTGAGGCACATACCCTAAAATGTGCCTTGCCTGTGCACCTAGGTGTGCCTTTTAAACCACTGCTACAACCCTTTATCTTTACACCACATAAAGTGCTGTGCTTCTGACATAGACCATTTTTGGAGGATGCTGGTTCTAAATTCACCTGTCTCTATCTGTAGTTTTGCATCAGTGGACTTTGAATGTGTTTATACCATCTGCTGAATCTGTTGCTACCTTCCCTGTTATTGCTATATTTTTCAGCAACATTGTGATTTAATAGGTTTGAGAGGATGCTGGTTTTAAATTCACCTGTCTCCTCTATCCATGGTTTTGCATCTGTGGACTTTGGATGTGTTTATACCTTCTTCTGGATCTGTTGCTACTTTTCCTGTTATTGCTATATGTTTCAACAACATTCTGGTTTCACAGGTTTGAGAGGATGCTAAATGAGATGTTAAGTCACTTGGAGCGCCAACCAAGGAATAAGGAACGTTCTACTGCATGGCTTCAACTCATTGAGCCAGTTCTTGATGACATGGGACTTGTTTTATTAGCTCACTTCAGGCGCATTTTTCCACTTCTTTTTCAGTGGATGCATTCTGATGATGATGAACTTGTTTTGTTGGTGAGATCTGATTACTCATCCTAAACATTCATTTCTTCTTGAGTTTTCAATGACATTAAGGCTGGATTATATTATAGTGTTATTCTGCACAGCCTGCACTAATTCAGGGCACTGTTTCTGGTTGAGCCACATGGCATGAGACTTGTTTTATTAGCTTACTTTAGACTCATTTTTCCACTTTTTTTTTTCAATAGATTCATGTTTAATTGTTGATGATGATAAAATTAATTTGTTGGTGAGATCCTGAACACTCATTTTACCCATTAAAAGCAGAAAAAAAATCTAAGTGTTCACTTCTTCTTGAGTGATCAAGCACATTAGGGCTGGATTCATATTACTGTGCATCACTGTAGAGCCCACACTAGTTCAGGGCAATGTTTCTGGTTAAGGCCCTCTTCTTCTATGGTTTTATTTTGGTAGTACTGTAACAATGGAATATGGCAATGTAATGGTTATCACTTATCAGTCCTTTGTCTTAGGTTACATGCACCAAGTAATTGCTTCATCCTGATAGCTGTTGTTGGATATGTGTAATTATTTGGCAGTTATTAAAATATATGCACCTTTTGTGATGCCTAACATACTGTTATTTCAGGACCTTTTTAACATTTAGACTTCAATTATTTCTTTGTTTTTTCTAAGAAATGCACTGCTTATTCTTTTCTAACTCAAATTGCAGAATGAATTACATGTAACAGTGAAATACAAAAGAATATAATAAAAATTCTGGAAATGACACCTAATGGTTGTTAATGATCAAGTCCTTAGTTATTAAAAATCAAGGGCCATTGCTAGTGCATGCTTAATAGGGACATGCCAAACTTGTTTTTTGCTCTGCACATGTCAACATCACTTAACGGAGACAAAGTCTGTTCTCAATACCCTTACCTTGAAAAGTCTTTCAGTTTCCAACTCCTAAATGTCTCATAATAGAAAAACAAGTTAAATGTGAAGAAAACGCCTTTTCTTGAGAAAAGGAGAAGTTTATCTGATAGACACATTATCCTTGTTTGTCGCTCTTTTCTTTTTTCAAACCAAAAAACAGATTAGACAAATAGAGTGTCCATTACAAAGAAGGGAACTTATCCATCCCACCAAGGAGTCTGTGTTGTGCAGTGATTGACTGTGATATCTGACTTATTTCAAGGTAGATAATTGTCCTTCCATGACTTAACCACGAGAATGGAAAGAAATTGCTCTGATGAAGGTCTTTGAGCATCCACCAAGAAAATCACTGGTCAAAGAAACGAGGACCTCCAAAAAAGGGCACATTATCCAAGTAAAATTAGACCCTCCAAACAGAAGCAAAAGATGAACTGTTGAACAAAGTAGATAATGAGTCCTCAGTAGGGACTACATCGAGGTGTACTTGGTAGATGGTCCTTTGACAAGGAGGCGAAGGAAAGATTTAGGAAGTCCTTTCACTCTATTAAACACAGAAGCCTTGTTATTTCCAGGGTAAGTAAGTCTGGTTGCTATTTAGGAGCAATGGTGGCTCTTGAATTATGAATGTTGCATTTTTTAAAGAAAAAGTAAATGTTGGGGTATGGTACACAGAATCAGCCCTTATATTACCTTTCTTGTATTATTCTTGAGATGTAAGTGGGAGGATGGGTGTATGAGACCTAAGCAGAGAATGCACATGAGAGAAGTTGATTACTGGGCCATCAAAATCCTCCTTAATTAATTTAATTACTTTTTTCTTGGGAGTTTGAAAGTGGAATTCCATAAGGTAAGGATATTCTGAAGACACATTAACTGCTATCAGGCACATATTAATGTTAACATGACCCATGAGACAAGTGTGCAATACTGAAGAAAGAATGACTCATACTTTTTTCTTGTTTTGATTTGAAAATAAAAGACCGCATGAGTAAGAAAATTGTTGAAGTGCTTCTCATTGCAACAGGCAGAAGCATCATAACCTAGATGAAGCATGAGTGTTATAAAGACTATGCCCATTTTCCTCTCTTTCTCATTTGGGGAAATCACTATATGTGTCTTGGGCAAAAGAAAAATAAGCTGATTTAGTTAATCTGTTTTAATTGGGGATACTTATACAAAGTATGATAAATTAATGATAATTTCCATGCTTGTGTAGGTTCTTCAACGGATCTATACAATTATAAAATTGACATGGATCAGGAACACACCATATGTAGAAAGGTGAGGTGAATAATCAGGCCTTTATCCACGTGGAATATGCAATTGTTGTATCCTATTGCATCACTTTTTGTTCATTGTAGACTAATGATGGTCACGCCTTTTGACTAAGATTTGGGAGTTGGTGGTCAAATTGCTTTTGGATTTATTTCTACCATATGCCAGAAAGAATCACCACCGCTGATTTTATTGACTCCGGATCTCCTGCCCACAAAAACTCTACCCACGTCTACCCACAACACTACTCCCGTGCCTTGGGAACATCTCCCCGTGCATAATACCATGTAGGAGGATGAGATGTTCTCCATGTGTGGCTGTGATGTTTTGTGGGTAGACGTGGGCGGGAGATCCGGTTACATTGCATTTCTTACTTCTTTAAGAACTGCAACTTCTTCCCTTGTGGTTCCAAAATTGATTTTGCTTTTCAGCATTACTTCTACTATGTTTATCAGATTGCAGTTCTAATGTCTTTGGGCGTCAGATTGGTAGATGAGCTCACTGTAACATACAAGGAAGCTGCTTTGAGAAGGGGTCGTGAAGTAATCAGAACACATATTGTCCAGATACTAATTTTACTCCAGCAGTAAGGAATATGTTTATTTCAATTAGTAGCGAGGTTTCTAAATATAGCACATGTCTTGGTCTAATTTTCTTTTTTTTTTTTTGTTTCTTCTTCTGTTGCCAAGATGCAAGGGCCTACAGTTTGAAGAAGCTTGGAAGAAACATAGGGATGATCCAAACTTGACCTCTCTGACCGCATTCTTAGGCTTAGGCATAACAGATCCAGCTGCTGTTAAAAAGTGCGCATCTATATCACAATAAGATAAGTACTTGTCTCCCTGACCCTGTGGACAAACAAAATTTCAGCAATTTGTTAAGTGGACTTTGGGGATAACCCAGCCTGGCATAAGGTTACACTTACACATGCACGCACAGGGAGACATCGTACCTAAAGGCCCTTCGTCAGGTTGTCATATCCGTGTGATAGTGGACATGGTTGGTTGAATGTGGCAATCAGTTCGCTGGGATATACTTGTTACTGGCTATCTCTTTGTTACAATACAGCAGATACCACCGGATTGCAGATTCCATCCAGCACAGTAAACACTGCAGTTTTTCCACCGTCGGTGGAATCGTCCTTCCCCCAGTAATTCGCCTCACCTTAAAACGTGAACATTTTCAGAGGAACTACACATGCGGCATGCCAAAGACCCACCTCACCTCATAAGATATTGTTGATGTGTAGCGTCAGATGCATCCATAGCTTCACCAACTGGTGCGGTTAGCAGTACTCAGTTGAGGATTTGAATACTGGCGATCAATGTATGTATATTGTAACATTTTGGCATTATTTTATTTAGGCTCTGTTCGTTTTTCGGTAAGTTACTTATCCGGGTAAATGCAGTTATCTGGGTAAGTTTTTTTATGGGAAACACTTATCTGGGCAAGTGTATTTACCCATGTTCTTTTATTTCTCATGTAAATAAGGTAACGACCATTTTAGCCATAAAAATCCATTATTAAAAAGGGTATTTTTGTCCCATTTAAGTGTTGGCAACTTTTCCCCTAGGTGGGAAAGTTATTTATCCACCTAGGAGATGGGTGATACTCAGGAAAATAAACTTTCGCTGGTTCTCACATAAATTTGAAAAAAGAACATGGGATTCTTGGTCAATAGGAACCAAAATCTCATTGATCAACTTTTCCCCTCTCAAAATCTGGAAAAAAAATGCCCCCTTAAATTTATAAGCGAATTGATGGTATCTTTATATTTTGTTTTTGGTGGACCATGGACATGGGTCAGTGCTACTAGTTGGTCGGTGCCTCAGTGGAGCAGTCTTGAGAACGACATTCAATGTCGCTTCTCGGGTTTGGTTGAAAAGGTTATCCCTTGCCATGGTTTTCAAAACCGGACTGGATCGGATGGTCGGACCGGTTCTGTTTTCCCCCAAAACCGTTGATTTTGGTCAGCAAACCGCTGGACTAGCTGGTTAACTGTTTGAACCGTTCGAATGGTTTTGACTGTTTATTTATTTATTTTTTATTTTTTGTTAGAATGGGCCGACCGTTCTGATTGAACAGTTGGGCCGTTCGAACCGGTAACCGGACCCCTGACCGGTTCGGTTTTAAAAACCATGTCCCTTGCAGTTGCATAAAAAACTAGTTACAAAACCTTCGTAAATGGAATTCCCGGGCTCAGAAATTTTTGTATGGCTTGACGGTTCTCTTCAGTCTTCAATGAACCACTACTTAACCATGACGGTTCTCTTCGTAAATGGAGTTGCAGCTTTAACTGTCAGGTTACTGAATTAAGTTCCTGACTTTTTGGCACTACACAATTTCCCCGGTAAGGCTATCAATGGATCAGATATTTGTCCAATCTAATACGGTCCAACATGAGTCCATTACAGATGAATCGGTCCAATCCAATCCAATCTGATTCATATTTTGGATTGGACTGATCTAATTTAATGTCTTATTGGACCGTTAAACCTGTTCAACTTGGTTTTGAGATTGCGTCCAACCCAAACCTGATCGGTTGATACCCCTACTCTTTATCTTTTGTTAATAGACTGGATATTGATTTACTCTGATGCAGTCCGATATAAATTCTTTACATAATAGAGTAGGTCCAATCCAATCCAATAAATACTTTAAACCATTAAATCTGGACCGATTCAATTGTTTAAATTGGTTTTGATTTGAACAGGTCCAACCCAACCCAATCCATTGACACCCCTAATTTCCCGGGATAATCTTATGACTCTTGTAAAAGGGGTTAGGACCCTTCCGATCATTACATGTAATATACACTTGGAATTTGACGTGGGATCTTTGGATTGTGATGTATGACACCCTTAACGGGACTGCTCTAAGTTCGCTCCAAACCTTCCAAATAGAATAGAAATCAGCAAAGCATATATCAATAGGATATAGAATAAACAAAGATGGATCAGAAAGGAGAGGCTCTGATCTCTCTCGCAAAAAATAGCCAACAATTAGGTACAAAAGAAATGTGAAATTTATGAACCCTTCATATAATAAAATCTAGTCGTCTTTTCCTCTTTCCCACTTTACGTTTGTTCTCACCAAAAAATAAAAAATAAAAAATAAAAAATAAAAGTTTGTTCTTTGGATTTAGGTTCTACAATTTGTATGTGTATCAGCAAAATTCAAAAGAACAATCTAGGCCGCATCTCTAAATCCCAACGCACACAATTCACAAACTAAGACCAAGAACTACTGCCATTGCTTCGTCAAAATCTCTGAGCCATGGCATGAAAACTGAGATAAAATAAAGAAAGCAAAGAAAAAGGGGAAAAACACTCGAACACATCAACGTGCATCGAACATTCAATTTTACAGGAAGAAACTGATTAGCTTAGTTTCCTCCTCTCCAAAATCAATTTTCTGACCTTTCCGAGAAACTCAACATCTAATTTCACATACAGTCTCTGCAATTCCCTGTAACCCATCAACACATATCTGTCGACTTGATCCTCATACCTCTCATACAAAGCAGGAACTGTAAGAACAACAACAAGGGCTGCATGACCAAAAAATAGCAAATATCAATATAAACAATAATTCAGGGAAAATAGGAAATATGCTGATACTCATTTTTCCAATCAACTCGACATCTTGTTGGTTCCGATTCATTCTGCAAATATAATTATAACTGAAAAGCAGGAAAAATGTGATTTTCTTTCATCCTTTTCAAGAACGGATAAGTATATCCTCATTTTTGTGAAACTAATATGGGGACACTACAGTGTTTAGGTGAAACATACTTGCAGAGTTGTTTATATCCACAGTTAATGTGGCATAAGAAGTTGATGTACGTATCCAGAAAACCATTTTCCATATGGAAAATTTGTTCTAATAGCCCTCTTCCAAGTAAAAAAAGGAGGCCTCTTTGTCATCTTTTCCCACTTGATGTTCATTTTTCTTTGGACAGAAAATCAGCTTAATTTCCAGAGTTATTGCTTTCAGGGGAAAAATACAATACAGTATAGACTGTATGATATGGAATGATGTACAAACTAGAAATACAGATATGAGCTCCTTATTGAGTAGAGGTCCTGCCATGCAAGCCCCCTAGGGATAGCAGAAGGCAAACCCTGTCATTGCAGGCTTGAAATCCATCAGAAAAAGATATGTACACATTCCACCAATTAATGATCAATAAATGGAATTAACAATTGAAACTCACTGGTGTAGCCAAGAGTAAGAAAATCAGTCAAACCACCAATAACTGAGATCAGCCAAAGGTAAGCAGCTACTTTGAGAAACAACTTTGAGTCTTTTCCCAGGGCAATATCCTGTGAAACAGAGAGCAATGCATTCACTCTGATGCGAATAAAAGTTGCCGATTGAATTACCATTTCTTCTGAGAGATGTAGTTCTGGTAAAGGTGGAGGTGGCCTGAAATCAAGACCATTTACTATGTAAGATTGCATTTCCAAATTTTGTGTGCTATGAATCAGGTATTATGTCCCAAAAACATAAATTTAAAAATATGTCTTGCCAAAGTAACACTTCCACATTTTAATGTCCCCAAGGTAACTTAAATGATGATTTCATATTTTCATGAAGGGGACTTCTTGTCGGAGAAATATTCGTTGCAACCTTTTCATAATAGATCAATGATTTATTTTCAACTGGTACAGTATGTGGTGGAAAATGTTAATTAGCTGAACCATTTCCTGTCTTAATAGTGGCAAGAAAAAACATTGGTTTCTGAAACTTATAACTTGATTGAGTATTGATCTTCTTTCATTACAAAACCAGAGAAAACAGCTGCTTCCCGTATTAAATATGTAAAATGTAGTGTTGGATTGGCAATTAAAACAATATCCTTTTCAATCACCTTTAAGCCTTCAAACTTTTATACACACACACACAACACACAACACAGTACACAACTATAGTCATTACGCTAAACTGATTATGAGCTTGCAGGTTGCTTGAAATGGATATCCACAAAATGAGCTTCAATTTTAGGAGCAAGAATGTTACTTCACAGAGATGTATTGCTAAAAGTTGATTTTAGTATGGAAAGATAACACTCTACACATGGAGTTGCTAGTTCATATATGCATGGTAATATGAATAATCTCCNGATGTATTGCTAAAAGTTGATTTTAGTATGGAAAGATAACACTCTACACATGGAGTTGCTAGTTCATATATGCATGGTAATATGAATAATCTCCCACAGGACTATGCTAGAAAGACAAATGCATTAAAGGAATTTCCCCTTTTTTGGCACCAAACAAAATCATTGATTAATAGGAGAAGCAAATACAAGAGGATCAGAACTGTCCAAACGACACAAACTAACAAAAGAAGCCAGCCACTCAGGCAAAGAACAAGACCAAACACCCTTAGGACAAGAAGGGCTGGCAAGGAAGTGGGCAGCAGCACTTAAACCTCTGTTAACATGAATCCAGGACCAGGAGATAGACCTAAAGGAAATAAGGAGAGTAGAGATTTCATCCAACAAGAACCAAATCTCACTTGGTAAATGACCCGAACCATTCTGAAAAAACCATCACCAGAGGTTTGTAGCCCATGTTCGCCAGATTTCCTATTTTTTTTCTTGTTAGCTGTGTGTGCCTTTCCATTCCCATTGCACCATATGGATACAGCTTTTATGTCAGTTGGTATTTTAGGTGCTTAGCGAACTTGCAAACCAGTCAGAATTTGGAAATAATTGAGATATATGAAGAAAAAGTTTAGATTTATTATCTATAGAATCAAAAAAGGAAAAACCTTCACCTTCCCTTCTAGACTCGAACTAAAATAACATTAAACTGAAACAAAGAACCATGAATTGGGTAAACCAAATCTGCACATAACACCAAGAATCATTTCTAGTTTATTAGTATGTATTGTCCAAATCTACTACTCATTTCACCTGCTATATGATAGAAAGGAAAACAAAGATCATAACACCCATAGATGGTGATGTCGTATTGTTCAGCCGTCATGTAGTTCATAATTGAAGAAACAAAATTAATGAAGCTAAATGTTACTATCATGTTACCTGTTAAGAATAGCAGCAGATTTTGCCCATACAAAAAGAATGGCAACAAGGAGCAGGAGGACATTGGATACAAGAGAGAGAAGTGTATAACCAGATTTCTCGAAAACCACCCAAGCAAAAAGAGTTACAAAGAGTATCCCCAGAGTTACATTTCTCCGCCTCCAGAGCATTACATCGGCAACTGTTAATATGCAAACCAACAGAAACAAATCCTTAGTCCCCTTAAACTTTAAAAAATGGAAGCGATGAATCGTCCAGTAAATTCCTTACGAATTTTCAACATGTCTACTTAAAGCTCTAAACTACTCAAATTCAAATACTTCAAAGCACAGCCCAATTCAACATTAAAAGGACGTCGTAATTCATGAACCAAAACCGAATTCATCAATCGTTAAAATCACTACCCCGAGAAAACATTCAAAACAGTCACATCGGAATCGGCGCAGATCCCTAAAACACCAGGAAAGCGTAGTACCACATTGAAACTTCACAAATAAAATTCTAAATCTCACATCTATCAGGGCTCTGTACATATCAATTTTCCTAGTTCGTTTAGAACCCAATCCAAAGAAACCAGAATCTCATTTACATATTTGCTCATCCACTCCACGGGTGAAATCGACTCAAAACCAGATAAATCGATAATCAAAAAACTGAACATGATAATTACATTAAAAATATTACCGTAGCCTTCTCCGAGGATCTGATGCACAGTCCTCTGCCTGTTGAACAGACGATGACGATTAGATGATTCCATGGAGAAAGAGTTTGGTGGAAACCGTGGAATTGCCGCCAGTTTTGGGATCTTAAAGGGATAACCAGCCACTTTGAGATTAAAACCGCAGAACAGCGGCTCTGAGCTTTTCTTTCGCCCTTCTCCAATCTCCATCTTCTAACCTTTTTGTTGTAATAATAATGGTTTTCGGTCGGCGTTGGGAGGTGGGGTTGGCAGTTTCAGAATCCAGCCTAAAAGCGTTAACCCACTAATTCCTTTATTTTTCCCTTTAATCCGAACAAAAAAGAAGAATTGTAGAGAGAGAGAACCTGTCAAAACTTTCCCTCCATGACTGAACTCAACGTGGGCAGCAGTTCTGGTTCAAATCATGTCTTTCCCATTTTGTTATATTCTTTCTTAGCTTTTCCCAGTGACCACTGATTTTAGGGAGTACTACCAGCTGTTACCGAACAAGGGTATTATCGTCCTTTAGAGCGAACAAGGAGAAGAGAGGTCCCCCTCCAATGTAGAAAAACTGAAAAAAGGCGTTTACTCCGGTGAATAGAATAGCGCATTGGGTTTTGGCCCTTTTCGTCCGAGGAGCCCACCGATGATCAGACGTAGGTCCCACTCCCCGTCATTTTCCTTCCCATAATCGTCGTATATCCTCAATCCTCCGATTCCTTTTTGTTTTTGACGCAATCGTGGGCACTATTGGATCACGACCGTTCGAAAGCTTGACACCTCAGGCCGACTCGATTGACCTGGCCCTACTTGATCCGGGAGAAATTTTGGCTATCTAAGATCGACGATTTGGGACCTCCTCTAGCAAATATTGTCGCAACATTATTCCAACATGACCTGTATCGCCACATCACAACATAATTCATAACACTGGGACCCATTATATATATATACATATTATACAGTAGAAGTTAAATAATAGAAATATTATATTGTTTTTTAAATAATTAATAATTATTTATATTTTATATATTATTTTTAATAATTTTGTATAATACATAAATAATAATAATTAATTTTAATAGGTTGTTCATCAAATTAATGAACCGACTAATTTGACCCAATTAGAATCGAATTGATCGATTTCTAGTATTTTTAGTTGACTTTGATTCAATAATTTCTCAACTTGATTAATAAATTGGATCAATTTCGATTTAATCATTTATAAACTGATCAAAATCAAATTAACTTGACTATATATATATATATAGTCAATTGACATTGGGCAAGTTATCGCTCGTTGAGTTTGATGCTAGCAAGTAAACTCTGGTCTTGGTTGGCCTGGGAAACAAACTAAACCAGGACCAAGGTTCCAAGAAGCATTAACAAGTTGAACCCCTTGTTAATGGCCCAAGGTTTTAAGAAGCTAAGGGAAGGGTGCATTTTCAACCAGAAAAGGATATATATATTGAAATGCCATTAGGCTAATCCATTCAACTATTTATAAACTGCTATTTTTTAAGACATTCATATAGTCTACGGGTCCATATAAATTGATCCCTATATGTCAAGCCCATAAAATTATATGGGTCATTAAATTCAATTTGAACCGTTTATTACTTTAATTTAACCATTTTATTCTTATTATTAATTTATTTTAGTATTTAATTTAAAATTTCTGTTATATAATAATAATAACTAAATTTGTAATTATTTAAATATTTACTTAAAATTATTTTTTCCAACCGAGTATAATTATTATATAATAGATTTGTTAATTCATATTTTGCATTTAAGAATAAACATTAATGATTTGGCTTAACAATTTTAATGACTGATTGACTGTTAATAAATATTGATTCTTATTTAAGGTTTAATTACTGTATTTGGTAATTATTATGGGGCATGCTTTGAATAAACATTAATGAAAACTGATGATTGTTATTTCATTTTTTATTATTTACTTAATTAAGTACTTGATGATTGTTATTATTATTAATTATTTCTATAAATAATTGGTTGTTATTATTATTTACTTAATCAAGTAATTTTTAGCAAGTAATTATTTCATTTAATTTGAATTATTTCAATTTTTAATTATTTATAATAGACATTTAGGGTAGGCTCTTTATTTGATTTAAGAGACTTACCATGGTTTATCTACACAATGACCCCATACTAAGTAAGGGGCAACTACAGTATCATTTAATTTGAAATTTACTATTTAACAATAAAAAATCAATGTCTTCTTGAGCAACCCACCCCCAAAAAAGTATCAATAACTTTGAAATCATTAATATATTTATAAAATAGTAAAATTAGATGGATGTTTACAACAATATCACCAATACTACTTAATATTTAGGGACATATGAATGGATAAAAAGCATTTAAATGAAATTCATTCAAAGAGGCAAAGAAGAAAGAAAATTATTCAAAGAGTTGCTAAGAAAAACAATCCATGCCAAACAACATTTTCAGATGCATCCATCCTTTAAAGTAATAGATGAAAAATATATGACTACAATCAAATCATCATCATGTGTGGCTACAATCAACTAATAATATAATCAGGACTCTAAAGCCCATCCAACAGAAGAAATATGAAAGAAAGGAGAATAATGGGGTCATCTTGAGTATGGAAGTCACCTCCAAGTTAGGTGGCAACACTTCTTTTGGTCAATCATGGTTATGGATTTTAAGTCTAAGCTCTCCACGGTGTACGTAGATTGGCTAGAATTTATCTTTTGGAAAAAGGTAGGGAAACTTGTACATAACCTAATGGTATGTTTGAATTATGGGAATTGAGAGATAGAAATAGGAAATATAGGTTGAAATTATAATTTTGGGCATGTTGGCGTGTCAAATTCAAGTCAATTACAACACATACATTTTTAGTTCATTCATTTAGTGGTAATTTGAATTTTTTTATTCCATGTCCTTATTGAGTAATATAGATTAATAATATATTAATAATTATGAAATCAGTAATAATAATAAGTATATTATTATTACTATTAGTTACTAATATTATATTCTTATTATGTTTGTATTGATTTTGAAATAAGTAATATTAAATTATTATTATTATTATTTATTTATTATTTTTATTATGAAGTAATTAATTTGTTATAATTACGATTTTTAGTTTATTCATGAAATAGTAATTGCTTTTATAATTCTTTTAGTTTAACAATAATGAATAATTGAAAGTTTATAATTTAACTTTCGCTAAATGAAATATTTATTGGAGAATAATAATAGTATTAATTATAAATACTTATAATAATAATAATAATAATAATAATAATAATAATAATAATAATAAGTAACACTAATTATATATTTATAAAATAATTAATATGAATTAATATAAATATAAAATGATTATATCCCAATTAATAATTAACATTATTAAAATACTTATTAATTATCATTAATTAATTAACATTCTGAAGTAATACTTATAATTGTTATAATTAAGGAATTAATTATCAGTAAGTAATTATAATCAGTAATTAATTTTTATCAGAAATCATTATTATTATTAATAATTAATTATAATTATTGATAATAATAATATAATTAATTATTTCATATAAATGTATGAATTATAATTTCTGATAATAATTATACTCTAAATAATTAACATTAAATATTTATTTTCAAAATAATTAATATGAGTTAATATAAATATAAAATGATTATTTACGAATTATTAATTACCATTATGAGAATCATTATTAATTATCATTCCGAATTAATAATGAGAAAAATTATCAGTAATTAGTTAATAACAGAAATTAAGTATTAGCAGTAATTATTATAAGAAGTTATTATCAGCAATTAATTATTATGAGTGAGTTATTATTATTAGTAATTAATAGCTGAAATTAATTAATTAGAAGTCATTAATTATTATTAATAACCCTCTCTTTCAAAAAGTTGATTCATCATCATCATCATCATCATCATCAATGGCAACAACTTGATAAATATATAATTTGATAAAAATAGGTAAATATCATTAATTTATTTTTTTATCATTTGGAAAACTGAATAAGAGAAAAATAAAATGGTTAGCATTGCAAATGAAAAATTATTTGGATTTTTGTAAAAAAAAATATTGAACATAAAAAACCAATTATTCAAAAATAAGGTCGTTAAATCAAAGAGTAATTAAAATTATTCAGTAAATAATAATTTTAAGAAAATAGAATTAATAATTAATTATCTGTCTGAATCAAAATGGGTAATTTCAGAAAATAATTTTAAGTAATTAAATTTTTCTATTAACATTTTTTAATAATAATCAGTATTATTAATAGATTAATAATTATGAAATCATTAATAATAATAAGTATATTATTATTATTATTATTAACTAATAATATATTCTTATTATGTGTGTATTGGTTTTGAAATCAGTAATATTAAAGTATTATTATTATTATTTTTTTTTATTTTTATTAATTAATTTGTTATAATTACGATTTTTAGTTAATTCATAAAATAATATTTTCTTTTATAATTCTTTATGTTTAACGATATTGAATAATTGAAAGTTTTATAATTTAACTTTCACTAAATGAAGTATTTATTGGAGAATAATAATAGTATTAATTATAATTACTTATAATAATAATAATGTAAATAAGTAACACTAATTATATATTTATAAAATATTTAATATGAATTAATATTAATATAAAATGATTATATCCCAATTAATAATTAACATTATTAAAATGCTTATTAATTATCATTAATTAACATTCCGGAGTAATAATTATCATAATTAGTATTAGTAATAATTAATTATAATTATTGATAATAATAATAATATGATTACATTAATTAATATAATATTATTAATTATATTTAATTATAATAATATAATTAATATTTTCGTATAAATGTATGAATTACAATTTCTGATAATAATTATAATATAAATAATTAACATTAAATATTTATTTTCAAAATAATTAACATGAGTTAATATAAATATAAAATGATTATTTACGAATTATTAATTACCATTATAAAAATATTTATTAATAGAAGATGTATTTTTTGTAATACCAATAAGCCCTATCAGAACTCTCTGTTTTCCATGCTACAGGAAGATGGGTTCCAACTAAATTACAATTTGTGCCAATTTTGCATGATATTAGTAATTTGATGATGGGCTTTCGGATTTAAACTAAATACTCAGAGATAGAAGAAATTTCCCCGCATGCTAGGAAAATTCTCTCTTCAAGGAAGGTAAAGGGCACCTGATCGAGGGTGATGGGAACAACTCTATCTCCCCGTCCTAAAACGGTTTGTCGCAATTGGACCTGGACACCACCAAGAACAGAATATGCATCAAATAAACATTTTAACTTCTATACACAATCAAATTGAGATGGGGAAAATAGCAATAAAAACAAAAGTTAAAAACTAACTTGGGCGAGAAGTGCTTCGGCGTCTTCTCGTCGAAAGCATAGCAGACCAAGGGACTTGACGCTATTGGTATTGGAGATGAGCACGAACTCGTTATTAGAGTTACTGACAGCATAGACGGAAGTCCCAGCGAGCGTTTTGGCGGCGTAATCAGTACTGAGAGTGACATCGAAGGCGTGTTTGGGCTGCCAAGATTCCTACGACACCGAAGCGAAGAGAGACGACGCGGAAAGAGGACGTCTCTGTAGAGGTCAGTTTGAGGCTACATCTCCGACGAACCGTTTACCTTCTTCGAAATAGCGCCTAGTCGCATCCAATGCTGATGGATAAAAGAGGATACCGATAACAATGGATGAGGCGGTGCTGCTGAGGGCTTTGGGAAGTGCATCGCCAAGAGAGTATTAATTAGTCAGTTTAGTAGTTAACATTATGCATCAGAATTTGACAGGGTTCCATTATGTATGGTGGTGGATTCTTTTCTTGAACTATCACTAAGAATTTGACACATGTATAGTAGGCTCTGTTTTTGAATTATCACTAATCAGAATTTGACACGTATCTATTTTGTTTAAATCTTTGGAATGACATGGATCTAAATGTAGATGAATCACATGACTTACTATAGGGGGCTTTGGCCTGAAATCATTCATTTAATATATATTAGATGTGGAATGTAGAGAATTAGGGATTACAAACCAAATGATAGAAGAAACAAAGGAAAGACCTTTCCTTGCTACTTTGTTGAGCTACTCTATTAGCACATTTAGGGACAAAAAAAAATTGATGAACATGAAGTAAAGTGATGCATAAGAGGTTTGCAATTGGCTATACAAATGCGAAGTCGTCACGATGGGTCAGGATTATCTGCCAATAGGAGCTCACCTTCAATGGTGAGAGGAGAAATATACTGTAAACCATGAATAAATGCTTGAGCTTCTGCTTCTAGAGGTGAGCAGATAGATATTGGGAAGCTCTGGCAAAAAGAAACCTTCCTTGATGATCTCGAACAAACCATGCCTACTACTGTTTGATGAGAAGAGGTAGCAGCATCCACATTAATATCTTTAGGTAGCTCTAGCAGGAGGATGAGACCAGGTACTAGTTGATGGCTAATACCATTTCCATTGTAGATCAGGACAATGCTGAGGTAAATGTATTTTGGTGATCATGGTGGCTGTGAATGACTCTATTGTAGAGTGTAATAGATGTGTCCTCAATTGAATACTATTTGGATCAATGAAATCTGCGACGTTTAAACAGTGACAGTTGGAATTAAGGCTCCATTTGAAAGGAGTATAAATACAAATATGTACAACCTTGTATTTTGTATTACTTTGTATGTATATACTGAGCCTAAGAGAATGATGTTTTAAAAGAATCATATTACCACACCATGGATCATTATAAAAGTCAATTATTTGACCATCTCCAATAGACCATTATACTCCTTGGAATAGAATGTCAACCACATAAGGATATCATTGCCATTTAAAAATATATATATATGAATGATGTGATGTACCATGTGAATGGATTATTACATAGAATAACGGTGAGGAAGGATTTAGTTAATTTTCAAAAAATTAGAGATATTTCAAGGGTTTTGTAAACAATAGGATAGAGCGAGTCCATTTCCTAAAATTTTGGAATAGTCTAATCATGATCGCTTAGATCAGAGGTCCTGCTGGTGTGGCTACTCCAATGTTTAAGTTAGCATAGGAGGTTTCTGTGAGAGCTGAGAGCTTAGAATTCTAGTAAGAGAGTTAAATCGTGCATACCTTGTGAGGCTGGAGGCGATGTCCTTATATAGGTGAGTTGCCATGGGCCTCACGAAATGTGTCCACAATCACCAGCCTACACACCCTGTAGTCCATTTTGCACCCGAAGATGGATTCCGTGTAAGCTGCTGATAAGGTTTATCCAAGTTCGTCCGGTTCGGGTGAGATAGCGATAAGATCCATGGGCATGCAATGTGATCCTTAAGAAATCAAAGATAGCTAGCTGATTTGCTTTTAGAAGAAGGCTACGTGGCACCTCGGCAGGTCGATTGTGTGACGAGCTGCTCAGGCCTCGGTCTTAGCTAAGTGACCTGAGGTGACTTGGATTGCAAAGGTGTCCGAGATGCTGAGATGTCACGATGTCAACGGGTCACTCCACAAGTCGGGCCAAATTATCCATCATCAATATATATATATATATATATATATATATATATATATATATATATTAACTTTATAAATAGATATTATATTAATATTTAATTCATAAGTTTAAGTTTCATATATATTATGAGTGTTCGGCATCAATGTATTTTTCTGAGAAAATGACACCATGTATGCGTTACATCAAAAAAAGTGGTGCTTCAGAAAATATCTTATTTGGTATCATTTTTCTATAAAAAAGGTTGCTTAAGACTATGCCTTGGAAATCAAGAAAGTATAGTATGAAGTAACGTCTAATTTAATGTTTTCTCAGAAAACAGCTCGTTGTTGCCAATAGTGCAATGATATGGCATCCATGTGGTATCATCTTGGACGCTGAATAATAGAACAAGTACTGAAAATGGTTATATAACACTGGTACCAAACAAAACCGCTGCTTCCAAAATTAAGCACCGTTTTCTTACAACTCACACATGCCCAAGCCCAACAACACGCCTTTACGAGAAAACGGTGTGGTGTAATGGTGTTACCAGCACTGATGAAATATAATATAATATCTGAGTCATTTTTAATTTGTTTTTTTACGCATTTTTTTAAATTTATTTAGTAATACCACATTATTTTTAATTCAATAACACTATTTAAATATTTAATATCTAATTGCAATTCGAAATTCAAACATAAACGAAAATATGGATCTAAGTTATCTAACTACATCCGTTTACAGGCTTGCAGCCCTACTCCGAGGTTCTCCCGCCAAAAAATCAAGTAACCCCCTGTGTCCTCTTAATATGCGCCGAATGCGAAACACGCAGTCCCCTCCCCCCCAGCCCCAGGTAAGTGGAACACAACTGAATCTTGTAGTAGAATAACAATATTGAGCTCAAAATCAAAGTCCAAACCCGTCATTGTCTCAGGAAACATGTCTCTCTCTACTGTGAATCTCCCTCCCCTCCTCTTCTTCTTCTACTTTCCCTTCTTCTCTTTCTCTCTCCCGATCTCCGGCCAGCCCTCAAATCCGGCCGTAGGCGTCACCTACAACAGTGGCGCTACTCATCTTCACCGCCCAGAACGCGTTGCTACTGTACTTCATTCACTCAATCTCGAACGCGTCAGAATCCAGGTGCCAAACCCGGACGTCATCCGTGCCTTCTCGTACTCAGGCATCTCTCTTCTCCTCTCCATCCCGAACTCCCTGATCCCGGAAATGGCTTCGAATCAGTCCAACGCCCAGCGTTGGCTCTCCGACCACGTCTTTCCCTTCTATCCACGCTCCCGCATCACCACCATCTCCGTTGGCAACGACGTCCTCGACTCCTCGCCCCGCCTCGCCAATTTTCTTCCACATGCAATGCGGAACGTCCACGAAGCACTCCATAAGCTCGGCATTCGCAAGGTCTCTGTCTCCACGACCTTTTCCTTCGGCAACGCAATCACTACAGCATTTCCTCCCTCTGCGGCTCAGTTTCAAGAATCCATCACGGAGTCGCTGGTGAAGCCGGTTCTGGATTTCCTAGCTGCAACCAATTCCTCCTTCTTGATCAATCTCTATCCGTACAAATTGTATCGCTCGGACCCTGAGATTCCGATAGGGTTTGCATTATTCCAAGAGCAGCCCTTCAATTTTCGTGATGATATGATGTCCGGAGTTCGGTACCGTAACCTCTTCGACGTGATGGTCGATGCAGTGATCAGTGCGATGGAATTGGCAGGCTATATGGATATACCGGTGATTGTGACGGAAACAGGATGGCCGACTCGTGGTGGAGCAAACGAAGTGGAGGCGAGCATGACCTATGCGGAAATGTACGTGGACGGACTGGTGCGGCATCTGAAGGCGGGGATAGGAACACCACTGCGAAGAGAAGGAGTTGCGGAGACGTACGTATTTGAGTTGTTCGATAAGGATACGGAGCAAGGAGGAGCCGAGTCAGAGTACCAGTGGGGAATTCTGTATCCAAATATGACGAAGAAGTATGGGTTCGACTTCTCTGGTTCAGTAAGAGTTGGTGGAATTGATGGTGTGCTCATAATCCTTCTAGCTTGCTGGTTGTTGTTGAGTCTTGAGTGGAAAAGATGACTCGTGCATGTAGTCCTTTCTTCCGTTAACAGAATAATCGATCGATCGAATGCCACGGATACCATAGTCTCCATTCTATTACTGTTGTGTAGAGAGGAAACAGAATGAATGACTGAAGCAAACATAACTATGTACAGTGCAAATACAAGCTTTAGAAATACAGTATACAAGGTTTTGCACCAACTCTTCCCAAACTTTATTTTTTTCAAACGCTACAAAATTGGATCTTTGCTTCCCGGCAGTAGTGGATGCAATTTCATGTTTTGAACCTGGTCAGTGTATCTCTTGAAGAGAGAGAGAGAGAGAGAGAGAGAGAGAAAGAGAGTGAGTCGGTGTATTCTGATTTACTTTTGCTTTTGCCTTACTTTGTTTATCTGCATTGCAATAAAACCCAAAGCAGAAGCGAAGCAAAATTTGCATCCTTATCATTTGCACTCTCATGCATTGTACTAGTGCAAATAAAATTTGCACTTGAAACAAATGAAGCTGATTAATTTCAATAATCCTAGCCAAATATAAAATATTTGATAGGCTGCTGCCTGCCCTGGGTTCAAGACTCAGAGCAGCGCAAATTGAGAAAATTAACCTCGGAATGACCCAGATCCCTGGATAACCGGGACCGGCCTATAGAAATCAAGAGGTTTATAGATTTTGTAAGAACTGAAATTCGCCATATGCTTATTATACTTCATGCATGTGCAAACAAGTGGCAGATCATAAATGCATATGCAGTCTCAAACAGGAAGAGTAATTTCAGTACGGTAGTTACAGAGCTCCTATATATGTTAAAAACTATTTTCATCCTTTGGTACTCTTCTTAAGGAAACATTTATCACTTTGAACATCTATTTTGATCCTTGAAAAGTTTTTCTTACAGAGGCTTTCGTTTCGTAGAGCTATTGAGTATGGATTGAAAGTTAATACATGCTGCACAGTAGTAGAGCTACAAAGTAAAGACGGAAAACAACCATTTCCATCCAAATGAACGTTTGTCTTCTTCTTGAGTTGAAAATAGATATCACTATACTGATTTCTCCTGCATATAATCAGTGGTATCATTGATCTTTGTTTGTATCGACCGCAGTACCAGCTGGAGCAGAGTCCATCAAACTTGCAGCAATTGCAGCCTTTAAATCTTCATCTTCCATGTCTGAGAATCCTCCATCTTCCCTATAAATCATAGAAGGATCTGAACTTGATTGAGGCAAGTCGGTTCTGTTAGGGGCAGATTGTGCCATGTTGTAGGATTTTGTGATCCTTTGAGCGTCTTCAGGTGATAACCATTGCCCAAAGCCATTAGAAGCTTCCGATAATGAAATTGGAAATTCCTTTGGGAAGTTTCCCTTTACCAGGAAAATGCTCCAGCCAAAGCCCTTCAGAGAATCAAGATAGGCTGAAAGATAGAACTTAGAGAGGTGTTCAGGAGCTGCATACAGACTGTCAAAGTTATACCACTCCCCATCTACTTTCCTGATGCAAAACCAATGATCCTGCAAGTGACAGATAAATGCATTCTCAAGTTCGGGGTCAATCTGTGCAGGCTCTGCAACTGGACAGTCAAGGGGGATAACTTGTAGATCCCAGACCTCCAGAGCCTTCTGTAAAACCTGCAAGCAAAGGATGAAAATGAATGTAGCAACGTTCAATGACCATTTTTCATTGTTTTGATAGGTAAAGGTACTTCATATTGATTATATAAATCAAGAAAGATAGAAAATGACTCTTAAGCCCCATAATACAATGGCTTTACATGGTTAATGAGCAAAAAAATATTAACAATAATAATAATCATCAGATGTTTACACAATCAAATTGCGACCATCATTATATTTATTAATAAGGAGGGAGTAAAAAGGGAAAGACGGAAATCCTCAAACAAAAAAGTGTGTTGTGTTTATACCAGCAGGCCCAACAACATGATAATACACGGCTTGTATTCCTTAATATAAGTTACATGACCCTCTTAATAGATTGTACCAGACAAGGAAAACACTAATAGATTGGGAACAAGAGCAAGAAGAGCTACATTAACATTCTTCTATAGGAACAAGAAACTACAAGCTTATAACTGAGAAACAAGAAACTGCTCTCTACATGGTATGATACTCATTCCGCTCATTGTCCTAACTCCGAAATAACCACATAACTTATCACATGATTTCCCATCTTCCTCAAATTAATGACAGCAATATCAGAAGTGAAATCATTAATTTTGTCATGGTGGATATCTGTCACATGCTGATATTGTTGAGAATATACCCCTTGAGAGCACGATCAAAAAGAAAGATGGTTTGTCAGTATATATGTATTCTTTCCTTTTAATATAACATCTTTGACAACAATTACTTCCCCAGCCTTCAACTAGGCAACAATCGTAATTCATGTTAACCATACAACTAAGTGCAGTCAGTATAGAGTAAGGAGACACACACAAAGAGGGAACCATGAGAGAAGGATAGGACAAAAATAATTTCTCTACCTAAGCACCATGTGTTCGGACAAGATACATACCATCCAATTGGCCAGTTGGCCGCATTGAAGTTTCTTAGACAAAATCAACCTCATCAAACGATCCCAACAATTAAACCTCTTTTATACAATCAGTTAAAAACTGAATCGACCTTCTAAATTAAACTTCTTACTTGGTTGGAAGTTGGAACATGTAAATGGCCTCAGATTTATCATATCTAGAAAAGAGGAAGATAGGATGGATCAAATGATCCTAACAATCAAATCTCCCTTGTAAGTTCAATAGAAAAGTGAATCATCATTCTGGATCAAACATTTAACCCCATTGAAACATTGAATGATGGACTCAGATTTAATCATCAATATAGTAGAGAAGGATAAGATGGATACTTTCAATCCTCCATTCTTTTTTCTTGATGTTAGGCAAAATAGACCAAGTGATGAACATAATATAACAGAATGATAAAGGGAGAAGGAGAAATGTAGACCGGGCATTTCTCTATGACATCACTGAACTATAAAATGAATGATAATGCAATGTTTGTAACATCTTAAGTGTGGTAACCAATTTATTCAAGAAACATTAATGACAAAATCTCATCCTACAAAACTATCATAATAGTACTTTATTAAAGCAATAAGACCATTCCCAGAATTCTATATTAACCAGACGCATCTTAAATTTGGTATAATATTTGAATTTAAAAGTATAAAAATTAGAAAATAAAATATAATATTATAGCGATCCTGAAACAAAAATTAATCTGTAGCTTCGAGTTACAGTAGTTTTTATGTGATTTTACGCAAAACATTCTTGCTATAATTTCCCAATCCTCCCCCTTTTGAATAGAAAATTAAATGAGAAAAGTTCCATTCCCGGAGTCATGTCCTACAACTTAGACCCACACAACTACATTGCAAGCAGAGTTTCATTAAAAGCAGACTGCAGACCTACAAAAAGATCCAACCAAATTAATAAGGTCAATGCAAATTTGATTATCTTCCAAATGCCTATTACTTGTTGTTTAATAATTTTGATTTAGTGCAATGTCAACAGCAAATAAAGTGGACCAAAAAGACAATAGTTCGTGTTTGAATAGATGCTGCTAATCAATCTTTGACCTTACTTTGAATAAATGGTACTAAATTACGAGTATGCATAGTGGCAGGGCTCATGCAATGTTTGATGGGTTTGACCACTCAATACCTAAAATTTAAAAATAATGCATTGGAAGTTGACATCCCGGCACAAAACCGATACCCGCAACTTAATGCCGTACAAATATCAATAACATAGACATTGATTGACCTTTTATCCAACAATTCCCTGGAATCAAATCAATCGAGTTTCCTGCATTTCTTATCTATTTTTCCCCCTTGAATTGATTCTTTCCGTTCTAAAAACCAAGAAATTTTAATTTCGGAAAATAAAGATTTCTCACCCTAAATTAATTGCAAATGGAAGATACACCATTCAGAGAGGATTTAGTATAAGAAGTGAAGCCGGGAAAATTATAATCCATCACTAAAATATTCGAAACAGAGAGAGAGAGAGATTCGATAAAATCCTAACCTGGATGCTGAAATCGCCATCCATGGAGACATTATGCGACTCTTCGGAATCGAAACGAAGGAAATCGTCGGAGACAGCACCACCCTCGAGCATCATCTGACGCTCTTTTCGATCAAGTTCGGAGGCGAGAGCGGCCAAATCGAACTCAGAGAAGAAGGGCCCCTGCAACACGGTATTGACGCAATGCACCGCACAGAGCTTTGATTCCTGCACTTCGTGGTACAACAGTCCACCATTGCTCGGAACATCCATTTCTTGCTTCTCTCTGTGGGGAAAGGAACAAATAGAAACCCTAGAGAGTGGAAACCCTAGATATGGTGGCTCCAAACAGGATACGTTCTCTCTACTGAGTCTCTTTGCGGAGAGAAGACGAAGAAACAAGTGAAAATGACCGGTAGGAGTAGGACTAACTGAGTTAATCCTCTAAGGCCTAAGCGAGCGGGAGCGGGAGCAGTTCTATTAACCTCTTTCCCCTTTTGTTTTCCTCTTCTTTATTGACTATTGAATAGCGGGTGGCTCGTGCAGTAGTGCACGTGTAAGCCTTTGAAAGTAAAGAGAGAGGAACGTTGTACGTGGACGGTGGACCACTCACCAATTCCTCTCTGTTATCCAGTATGCCCGTTATTTGTTTATAGCCCAGCGGACAGCGGCGGAGGTTGGCCACGTAGAAGATGAAGATGAATACGTTTACAGTTTACACTTTGCACGGCCACGGCGTATAGGAGCCTTCATGAAGATGGAGTCCACAGTTGGGTGGATACGACTTACCAGCAGAGCCGAGCTGATTGAATACGAAGTTCGATCTTGGTTCAGCAGAATAGTATAAGCCATAAGGTTCTTCTTCTTTAATATTGAGCTAACACATATTTTATTCGAGCTTCAACTCAACACACTTGCCTTACTTGTTTAATATTTAAAACCCAAAAAAATACTTCAAAATTACCAGCTCTCATGAAACTAAGAAGAATAACTTGCTTATTTAATATTTAAAATCACAAGACAAAGACGAGATGATACAGACAAGTTCCTCCTGGATTAGCCATTAGGTCCTTCCATTTCACAAGACAAGATGCTGTTTCTGGGGACTTCAAGATGGGTTACCTACATTCTATGTTGGCAGTGGAATTTGCCAGTCCTTCCATTAACCCTCTTGTGCTACACTAGAATGCTCTCCCTCCAACGAACATACACAGGTGCTGATAATATATGATATTAAATACAAGTGAAAAATGTATTATCTCAAGTTTGTTTGAGCAAATATTCAAGAGGTTTTGAAGATTATTTCACGAGTAGAGATGCCAACTGATAAACGTTCTCTTGAAATGCTAAGAGCAACTTGCATCCTCAATGAACCCGATGTGTGTCATACATACCACTAAACATGACCAAGTTCTTTGCTGATTCAGATTGCAGCTGAACCGATTGATTCCCTTCTGAGGATTCTTTATCATGATCTTTGTGATCCTTATTCCTCAAGGTCAACTGTTGACATGTCAAGTGCCTATGTGGTAATTGGTATGTATCAAGCAATAGATAGTATAGTCGTATAGATGTAATGTAGGGGCAGTAGGGCCCGGCCCACTTTTGTTGTGCCGCCTGCATGGCCTTGGCCCGTGCCATGCTGACAAAGCATTAAGCATTACCAGAGTATGAGTAGGGACTACCGGCCGGACTAGGGAGGGGTACGGGCCCGTGGGCTGGCACTAATTCATGCCGGCCCAGATGTGTAGGCCATCCTTGAGGACCTTGACAGTTACAGCATGGTACTGTAGCACATGGGCGGAGCACAGCCCACATCTTTCTGGGCCAGGATGGCAACCCGCCCGTTTTACACCTTAAAGCAATAGACACAGCAAGGCCCATATGGATTCGCACAACTTGCACAAGCACACTACTGAAGAATGTCTGTTACCCAAAAAAAATGGGAGAATGACAGCTCAGCCCAGTGTCAGAATTCTTAAGCCCAAAGTACAGTTGGGGTAGGTGTCAGCTCGGAATTGATGCCAATTCACAGGCGGGCATTGGTGTATAGGATGGGGGTATTTGACATTTTGAATTTTGTAGATCTGCAGTGCAATTCAGAATTCTGCAGTGAGCTGCAACTTACTTTTCCAAAAAAAAAAATCGGATCCAATACATTGTATGCATCCTTTGTTCTACCTTGAAATGGACAACCTTGTTCATGTGTACAATTTACAAGTGTATCTATAATTCTGGTCTGCATCAACACAAAAGGAATACCATTTCACAACCTCGTCCTCCAGCTCACAAAAAATCCCTCAAATGAGAAGATCATAATGGTTCCTACCACTGAACAAAAGCCTTACTACCTTCCTTGGTTTTCCCTTTGATGTCTTACTGAACTCAACTCCGTACTCTGTGATAGGAATAAAACCAGTGCCCCGTCCTCCCACCCTATGCTGCAGTTTGGTAGATATTGTCTACAATAAGTAAATGAAAAGCAACAAGAAACACCTTTTCAACAATTGAGTAGGGACTAACTGTATGATCATTTTCAAGCACAAGTATCATTACAGCCTTCACTATTTCAATGTTCAAATAGTTTTAAGTCGATGTCATAAAAGGTAAAGATGGAGTTGAACTAGGACTTTGTGGTCAAAACCCATTCCATCATTGATTAATATGTGATGAGATCAACTAGTGGCAACATTTTCTCTCAATGTACAAGGTACCCAGTTATTAAAAGAGCCATAATCTAACAGAAAACAAGCACAGTAAAGAAAGGGAGGCTTCCAAGGTGATTCTTAGATTCTTGATGAGGATCTTGGTTAAATTGTACAGAAAGATGCAAAAACTTTTGCTCGGTAATTTATCTGGGAAGATTGTTGCTCATTAGGCTCAGTTTGGGAAGAGTGCAAATACAAATATGTTCAATGCAAAACCTTGTATTTGCACTGTACATATTTGTATTTGCATCTTCTCAAATTGAGCCTCAAGGAGTGAAAGATGGGGAGGGCTCAGCCTTGAACATATACCATGCACTCTTTGGAGAAACCAGACAGAGATGGCCAATTTGCATGTCAAATTGATAGATTAAGATCATTCAACTGTGATAATTTTGTTTCTGAATCACCTCCCAAGTTATGAACTCATGTTATTGTTAAGGCAATTGTTGCTTGATGCCTGCAATGAAGGGGTTTTTTCTACTATGTGCAGGGCCTAACGTTGCAGATCCAGACCATCCATCCAATGAGGGACTGTACAGATTAGCTATATATTTATTTCGTTGTCCAATCTACAGATCCCTGGCCCTGTATTACAGTTTTTTTGATAAGGATAACATCCATTGAATTTTCTTCAGTTTTTCTTTAAACAAACATGGTGAAAATATGGTACTTGATGCAGATAGAAAAGTGCTATAAGACTGAAATAATACATAAGGGTGGCATGGAGAACCAGATGGATATATTCTAAGTTGCCATCTTAGCAGCAAGGTGCAACAATTGTGTATAATCTGTACAGACATTTGACATTCATTTTCAACTATTTTGTTCAGGAAAACAGAAGACATACCTCATGCTCTGGTATGTAAACAATGATTGGCTGCTGGCACAACTTTGATAACACCTGAAAGAGGAACTAATTGTCAAGAGGCATGCTAAACCTACAAAGCCATATGGAAATATTCATATGAAGCAAACAATATCTTATTAAGAAACATAGACATTAAAGTCCTTCCAATAAAAATCACATATCTTATTGAACAACTAAGCAGCAAATTAATTCCATTATCTGTGAGTATGAGCAATGATGTATATTGTGGTTTTCATCTGTATAGCTGTCGGCAATATATGATTTGCGGCAAATTAAGAAAGATATGACTTGCTGCAAATTTAGAATGATTCGATTTGATTGATTACAGATTTGAATAAATTTAGGAAAGATTAGATTTGAATAAAATTAGGAAAGTCATATCCTAGGATTAAGGGAAAAATTTAATCAATTCCTAATTGAGAGAGATTCTAGGAGTTTGTCTCTCCTATCTTTTCTTATTTAAGTTGTATGCT